ATTGTCGGCGGGTTTTCTGGGACGTTGGCTTTAAAGCAGCCGGGAATTCCGGACAGTGAAACATAAATAAACCAAAACAGTCGAGAAGACGTTCATGCCAGGCCGGAAAATCCGGGCTCTTTGTATGTGCGGTTGCTCTTCTGCCCACATACCGCAGCGCACAGAGTTACGCGGCGACGCGTGGCGGCTCCGTAAACGGGGCCGGACGGGGACACCTTATTATGCTGTTCCCTGCAACCACTCAACCACCATATCTATGTCCGGCCAAAAGCCATCGGAAACCGGCCGCTGACATATCGTCTACCGCATTTCGACAACTTCAGCAGGGTTAGCTCCGAGTGCTTGGGTATTTGAAGAGTGGGAGGCCGCGGCTGGATCGCCTCGAGAAACGGCCGGGAAAGACGTGAGCAACATCATGACCATGGCAGCACGGCACAATCTTGCCTCGGAAAACTTGCCGTCGTGACGCAGCCCGATTCGTAGATGGTAGCCTCCTATGAGTGTCCCCGCTGTACGGCCGCGCCGATAATGTGATGGAGACACCCGGTTGCAACCGATGAAGTGCCCGTTGGAGCAATGATCGTTGGTTCACTGAGATTAGATGAAGGAGGTGGCCTGAGCAGAGCGGTCACCCCAGAAGGTTCGATGAAGAAGACTGGATGAACGACAAGGCAGCGGGAATGCGGCACAGTCCATCTCCAACGAGCTCTAAACCAAACAAGCTCTCGGCAATCAGAGTGAACAGCTGCGCGTGGCGCCTTGGCGAAGTCGAGGAGGCTTACCGCAGCTGCGGCTCACTCACGATATGTGGGTGCTCGATGTCCTTGTCCGCATCCCAGCCCCTGTCTGCCGGCATTGCAGACTGCAAAGTCGCGTAAAATTAGAAATCTGTAATCTTGGGTTCCATGTGCAGATCACTCCGATTTCTCCGAGCGGCTTGTGAGAAGAGGTTTCGCCGTTCTTTTCTGCCCACTTGACACCATCACGGCACTTTTTTCACGGATGCAGAGAGAGAGCACCAAATCGGACCGTACACTCGGGCAGAATGGTGTTTTCTGTTTGCTCATGAGCTCAACCTCAGCAAGAGCCGTCGAGCATGTTAATGTCATTTTTGAGAAAATTCATCTTTGAAAGATCGAGTTATGGACGGCGGAAGACCAATCCAACCAACAAAACCCACTCGATGCTGATTGATGATTGGGCTGTAGAGTTGGAGGAAGGGGATAATTCTCGGTGTGGCGGTTGCTCACCGAGTATGCACTCGGTCGCAGTCGGTGAGAGACTGGGTACCTCTCCGGCTCCAAGGTGTGGGGCCAATGGCAGTGGCCGTCAAGGTGCCTTAGGCGCCGCCAATTGCATCATTCCGACCGAGGAGCTCGAATAAGCCGAGCCGCTGCTTGCGACTTTCTCGCGTTTTGGTGCATAATCGCCGTTCAACACCCCCCGAGACACCCGGATTCTCGTACATCTCCCTTCTTTTCTGTCAAACGGTCTTTTGCCTCCTTTTCTGGACCAGATCACCCGCAGGTCGTGGTAAGTTGCGGCAATTTCCTACCCCTCCGACGATCGCAGGGCGTCCTTCGGCTCTTCTTATCGATTAGCTCGGCTCGACTCCCGTCCCCCGCCAGGACTGACGCTTTTCCCGCAGAGTCAAGGAGGAAGATGATCGTGTTGCGGCGCCGGGCACGATCACGATGATAATCCGAGCCGTTCACAAGGCTCCATTGGCCTGCCCTCGAGGCCTGGGTCACGCGAGCATCTGCCGTCCACCATGGCTGCCTCAGAGCCCACGAGCCCCTGTTCGCATCTTCCAGACCAGCGCCCCTGCGAGACGCGAACAACCCAAGACTGCGGCGACGACGAAGCCAAGCGATGGTAGCCCCAAAGCGACCGCGGCGAAGGCCACGCAGGCCAAGAAACCCCCTGCCGATCCCCTTGCGACACCCGAGAAGAATGCCCAGGAGCAGCGCAAGGCCGACTGGGCCATCATGAAGGAGATGTCGCGATACCTCTGGCCCAAGGACAGCTTGAGCACCAAGGTCAGGGTCGGACTCGCCGTCTCTTTGCTGATTGGCGCCAAGGTCCTCAATGTGCAGGTTCCCTTCTACTTCAAGAGCATCGTCGACGCAATGAACATCGACTTTGGTGCCACTGGCGGAACGGCAATCACCATAGCAGGAAGCATGATTCTGGCATACGGCGCAACAAGAATTGGAGCTACGGTCTTTCAGGAGCTGCGAAACGCGGTCTTTGCCTCTGTGGCCCAGAAGGCAATCCGTAAGGTGGCCTGTAACGTCTTTGACCATTTGCTGCGGCTGGACCTCAGCTTCCATCTGTCCAAGCAGACGGGTGGCTTGACGCGCGCAATTGATCGAGGAACCAAGGGTATCAGCTTCCTACTCACGAGCATGGTCTTTCACATTATTCCCACGGCTCTGGAAATCTCAATGGTCTGCGGTATCTTGACATGGCAGTACGGCGCCAACTTCGCCGCCATTACGGTGCTCACCATGGTTGGCTATACGGCTTTCACGATCTGGACGACGGCTTGGAGAACAAAGTTCCGAAGACAGGCGAACGCGGCCGATAACAAGGCGTCTACGGTTGCCGTGGACTCCCTCATCAACTACGAGGCTGTCAAGTACTTCAACAACGAGAAGTTCGAGGTTGCGAGATACGACCAGGCACTCCAGGCGTACGAGAAGAGCTCGATCAAGGTCGCTACCTCCCTGGCCCTTCTCAACAGCGGTCAGAACATCATCTTCTCTTCGGCGCTGACGGCCATGATGTACCTGGCTGCGAACGGTGTTGCGCAGGGTAACCTCACTGTCGGTGATCTCGTCATGGTTAACCAGCTTGTCTTCCAGCTGTCCGTGCCTCTCAACTTCCTCGGATCCGTCTACCGTGAATTGCGCCAGTCGCTGCTTGACATGGAGACTCTGTTCAACCTCCAAAAGGTGAACGTCTCCATCAAGGACGTGGCCGACGCTAAGCCCCTGGCCCTTTCCAAGGGCGGAGAGATCAAGTTCGAGAACGTCACCTTCGGCTACCACCCCGATCGCCCTATCCTCCGCAACCTGTCGCTTACTATTCCCGCCGGCAAGAAGGTGGCTGTCGTCGGCCCTAGTGGTTGCGGCAAGTCCACTCTCCTTCGCCTGTTGTTCCGTTCCTACGACGTTCAGTCCGGTCGCATCTTCATCGACGACCAGGAAATCCGCCAAGTCCAGGTTGACTCCCTCCGCAGGTCCATCGGCGTTGTTCCTCAAGACACTCCCCTATTCAACGACACCATTGAGCACAACATCCGATATGGTGACATGTCTGCCCCTCAAGAGCGCGTCATTGCTGCTGCTCAGCGTGCGCGCATCCACGAGATCATCGAGCGCTTCCCCGATGGATATCAAACCAAGGTCGGAGAGCGCGGCATGATGATTTCTGGCGGCGAGAAGCAGCGCTTGGCGGTCAGCAGACTGCTTCTGAAGGATCCTCCTTTGCTCTTCTTCGACGAGGCGACCAGTGCTTTGGATACCCATACCGAGCAGGCGCTCATGCTCAACATCAACAGTATCCTCCGCGAGAAGTCGCGGACCAGTGTGTTTGTCGCGCACAGACTGCGCACAATCTTTGATGCGGACTTGATTATCGTCTTGAGGGAGGGTAGTGTGGCTGAGATGGGTACTCACAGGGAGCTGATCGATCGGGGCGGACTGTACGCCGAGCTTTGGAGTGGTAAGTTGTTTCTAGCCCCATCTTGCGACGCTAATGCTGACACCCGATGAAGCCCAGGAGACTTTGTTCAACGCAGATGGAGAGCGCGAGGTCGCAGAGGAGGACGCGCAGAAGCCACCTGCTGGTCGCTGATCTTTGAGATTTTTGTTGAATACCACTTGTCGAAAAATCTTATTCCATGTTGACAGTTATCGCATCTCGTGAGATCTTCCATGTGAACTATCTCCGACTTTTCTCGAGCATGTTGAGCTTGATGAGGGGGCGTGCCAGTTCCTCTGCTCTGGTTGGAAAAGTCTCGTTCCATGGCTTAGTAACTGAACTGAATCTCCCACACAAGTCTTTCCAGGTAGAGTTCCTCGGCAGCCGGCGCGAGAGGCTAATGGCTATTAGTCTTAGCTACGGCACGCGATGCGAAGCGAGGTCAACACTAGCATGGGGATGGGAAGGCTTGTCTATATCGACCCCACCTTGCCGATTTCAACGGAAAGGACAAAATGTCCGCGCCGGGATGGGCCGTCCTCAAGTGGGACGGTCTCGGATTCCCTAGCAGGGCGAACCGTTTGAGGTGCAGCATCATGAGGGGTGGTGAAGGATGCCCGGTGTTTGTGGAGATGCAGCCGGAATTGGTGCCACATTCCTCACAAGAGCTGCACATCACGCTCAGGGACGTAGTCAACCCCAGCCATGATTTTGGTACTGATTAAACTCAACGCGGTCCGTCCGATCATCATATCATCATGCACTCGAGGCCCTCAACTCCCGTTTTCTGCTGCCGAAGTGGACCCAAACGGACTAGACGGACTGATGAGCCGGCCCTCAGCAGTCATATCCGCATACTCAAAATGACTCTTGCTGCATGAGCCGCGCAAGTCGTGGTGAATCATGTCGCTAGATGCTCGAAATTCCCGGCCGGCGGCCCCAGTTCAGGGACCGGAGAAAACCCACTCGTCTCCACTTCGAGTTTCGGCGGCATCCCGTCGAGTCCGAGTCGCCGACCCACTACACGGAGATCGTGAGCGGTCTGCTGGCCGGTCGACATCATGATGCGTCAGTAGTGTGGTGTCTCCCAGGCCAGCGGCGAATTTATAATGGCTTGGGATTCCCATCTGATGCTGCGTTTTTGGCTTGCGATTCAATTGACTTTGGACAATCGCATCATTTTGCTGATCGTTTTCTTGGTGGTGTCGACTTGCCATCTGATCTCGCATCAACCACACAGACGCACATAATACTCGCACATATTGCATCACCAAGACACATTGAGACGAAAGATGGCGCCTATCGAGAACCCAGCGATTCCCGAGGGTTCTATTGTTGTGGTAACCGGCGCCAATGGCTACATCGCTTCCCATATCGCCGACCAGTTCATCCAGGCGGGCTACATCGTTCGTGGAACGGTCCGGAACCCGAAAAAGAGCGCCTGGCTTGTGCCCCATTTTGAGAAGGCCTATGGCAAGGGGAAGTTCGAACTGCACATTGTGCCTGATATGCAAGCCGATGGAGCTTACGATGAAGCTGTCAAGGGTGAGCTGGAACAAAACTGGCTAGTAACTAGCATGAGGAACGTTGCTGATCTTGGTCAGGTGCCGCGGCCTTCGTACACACTGCCACCGTAATTGACTTCAACGGCGACCCGGCTGAAGTCATCGGCGGCGCCGTCAAGTGCGGCATGGTCGCCATCGAGGCTGCTTACAACGAACCCAACATGAAGCGCTTCATCCTAACTTCATCAGCCTCGACTCTCATGCCCCTCAAGAAGGAGAACTTCTTCGCTCTCAAGGGCCAGACTGTTGACGAGACCACCTATGGCCATGATGCCAAGGAGCTCGCGTGGGCCCCTCCTCCGTGGGGCATCGAGCATGGCGGCGCCATCTACGGCGCGAGCAAGATGGAGCAGGAGCAGAGCATCTGGAAGTACTACAAAGACAACGCCTCGAGACGTCCTGATATTGTAGTGAACTCGAGTGAGATGCCGTTCACGTTTCAGATCTGATATGGAGTACCGCTAACCGAGAGTCATGTCTAGTTGTGCCCGACTTCAACTTTGGCAGGAGCATCGACCCCGTCAACGCTGGAGGAACCTCATCTTTTGGTTTGGTAACAGATTTGTTCGAGGGCAAAAGCTTGGGTGAGCTCTGGCATCTGCCGCGTAAGCACACACGCTTTCTTCACACATTTGCTCTTCGAATATGGCTGACCTCTGAATCCGTTTCAAGATTACTTCGTGGATGTACAGGATGATGCCGCGCTTCACCTGGCCGCCGCGATTCTGCCGGATGTCAAGGCTGAGCGTATCTTCGCTTTCGCCTTCCCGATGCACTGGGACCAAATCCTCGAGATCATGAGAAAGCAGAACCCTGACAGGAAGTTCGCGGACAACTTCTACGGAGAAGAGTACCCTGTCACAGTGAAGCCGATCGCTCGCGCCGAGTCGTTGTTGCGAAGAATCGGAAGGCCGGGGTGGATCTCGTTGGAGGATAGCATTGCATCAAACACTGAGCACCTCAGGGGTGCCAATGGCCACTCAAATGGGGTAGCTGTTTGACGTCGTTGAGCAGGGTATGAGCCGTAGAGGTACATCAAATGAAATGGCATAGCAGGAGCTCTGGGTATCATTTCACCAAACATCACATCGAATAGGACACCCAGGAAGCAATATGATATCAACTGTCGATTTGGTGTCCTAGCAACTGCGCTTTCTACGCGCCAAGCCCTGAAACTATCTGATTTTCCTCGACGGTTTTCCTTCAAAATCCATAACTTATTTGCAGTATCCGAGCTCGATGAAACGCTGGCATTGAGAAGCGTTGTCGCAGCAAAGACCACAGCCGTGGCTGTTGGGGGGAGGGGTGGTGCACTTTCATCTTGTTAGTACCATTCTTAATACACGGCGTGTAGAGAACCGGGAGCCACTCACGACAACTCCTCCCTTGCGCTCGGAACAGGGGAAGCAGCCCTCAGCCGCGACAGAGGTGGCGAGGGAGAGGGCGGCGATGAAAACGGCGGCGACCTTCATTTTGGCGAAGAAGTAGAGACTGGTTTTTGAGTTGAGAAAAGAGTGGCTGTAGGCTTTGTGATGTTGAGATGGCTGGAGAGTGATATTGTACCGAGAAATTGGGGATTCAACGGCACTTAAATATTTCTTGGAAGGACCTATTCGACGCATATCGCTCAAACATTTGCTGAAATACTTGTGAGACGTAAATGAACTGCACACATGATCTTCGACGATATTTCCCTGGAAAAGGCCTCAACCGGCGATTGCCGGACATCCTATATCTGCTGTCCTAATTGAGGCTCTCAAGGCAGCTTCATGAAGGGATTGATCTGCAACGTGGAACAGAGCGTCCATGAATGACATGGGACGAACGACCAGGAAGATGGACGCTAAGCTTCGTTAGCTGGCGGCACCCCCAGATTCTAGACCGTGAGACGAACAAGAACATGATGCCTGGGATACCCTGATTCAATTCCGTTCAGAACGGGCAACTGTCGAGTCAGTGGGTGGCCTGGTGGCCGTGAGTCAGCTGGCATCTCTTTTCTCATGTTCAGGGGAACCTGTATCTTCCACTCCGTTAGGAGCTCTGTTAATGTAGATCATGTGAAAACGCGACTCATACTCCAGTGTGCATCAAGAAAACCATAGCCCACGTGCATGAATTAAAGCGACTCACAAAGGGGCGCAGAGCCTCAAGGCAGCATTTTCAGGCGAATCCATATCAGCATTGTATCGTATTCTGGCTCTAAGACGGTTCCCAACGTCGCAGCTATATGCGGACTAGCTGGGAATGATTCTCGGGCGGTCTCTTTGCGGCTTTTCTTCCCTAACTTCGAAGAAAACGTCTAACATTCTGGCCAGTTTATTCATTGGTGACAGGGTGTAACACGGCAAACCTTACGGTTGCTTAGATTCAGAAGTCGTGCATTGGTGTGAAAACGTTCATTGTGGGTACATTCGGCTGCTTCTGTCAAGATACCGAATCAGATGCAAACTTCCAGAACCATGTCTGAATAGGCTACCCCCGTTACCCAGAGAGTGGGCGGAGTAGCGGACGGGGAAGCATGAAATTAAGCACAAGCGGGGAAGGCCGGAAACAGTAGTTATTTACCCCATTCGCGAGCTAGACAGAGGACACTAGGAAGGTAGTCTGATCGTGCATATGGTATCGATTAAGTAGGGGCTAAGGATCTTGGTTGGGGGCCAGGTAATGATGCGTGTCTCGTCCAGAAGGGCGTCGGAGTTGGAAGCCGACTTCAGAGGCCCGAGGCGTTCTGGGGAGACCGAAACTTAGAATGATGAATCGTGGATACTTGAATACGCGCCTATTTAGTTCAACAGAGTGCTTGTGGAAAGATCGTTTATGCAAGAATCCACATGTTCATCCAGACTTGACTAAGGCACCACTGCAGCTTGCCTGCCCAACACCCCCTGTCGTAGCAAAGGGACTTAGGTTCAGGGATGTGCTCGGCAGTGTGCCTGATGCCACTACGGCGGGTGAGCTATCTCGATATGTATTATTTTGACAATCTCGACAAGGCGAATACTGCTCAACTTAGCAATCTGTATCAAGCAACTTTGGTTCGATTCCAATTTCGTGCAGCTGCTGCAAGATGTTGTTTATTTACTCTTCGACAGAAAATGTGCTTTTCTATGTCTCGCGAATTGTTGAAAGGACTTTCTCCGAGTCTCCGAAAGAGTGAGGTGAATCTAGACTGTGCTCTATGTCTCGGTATCGGATTCAGTAAGCGTATCCATGGACCCTGGTCAGGGGAATTCGTGACTTATAAGTGCATTCTGATACACGTGTCGAGTAGATAAGCTGACAACAAACTGGGAGTGTCGATACGTATCACGTCTTCTCTTGGATATTAACGTGAACTTCCAATTATTGTGCTTCCCAGCCTAGTGGTTCTCTGTTATCCACCCGCGATCCACGGGAACGTACCACCGAGAAAATCATCGGTTACCAGCAAACCGGCATCAGTATCAAAGATACCGCCTTCTGAAAGTAACAACTTATCTACATCACTTCCCGTAACTGAGCCGGAAAGCCCGGTCATCAGAGTAAAGTCTGCAAGTGCATCGGCCCCGGGGATGCCCCCTTCCTCTCTCCGGCTAGCTTGAATAATGCTGTCTTTAATCTCACCTACGCACGGCCATACATTCTGGACAGCAGTCATGGCTTCGAGAATGCGTGTCAGTGCTTGAGAAGTCTGTGTCTCATCCCAAGGCGTTCTTTCTAGATGGTGTCTCATCATGATGGTTCCTGCCGCGGTAGCAAGAGTGTGAACGAAATCAATCGGGAGGCAGTCGTAGCGATAAAACCGATTGTAGCTCCTGAGTAAACGTAGAATGGCCTGTAGCGACTCATAGCATATCTCCACATCTTCACTGGATGCAACATCTGGCTGCGACAAAAGGTGGCGCGGCGGTCGATGGAGAATTACCATTGCAGTATGAAAACGCATGCTACGACTTGTCAGAGAAGAGGTTTAAAGAGGCACGCATGACTCACTGTAGATGAAGGACACATGCTGGGACTTGCCCAACTGTCCACTGATTCCAGTAAAGCTTCCCGGGTAGGCTTGCCAGCCACTTTGTCAAGGAAACGTGAAGCTTTTGAACTGTTGCAGCGGTGTTGGCATTGTGTGTTCTCGACCGACGATTTTCGAAGAGTTCGGTAATGATACTATGTTGAATCTTTGACAGCTCAGCTTGATGTATCAAAGCCCCAACCAGAGCAATCCCATCTTCGAACGCCGTGACGGACAAACCGGGCGCGATATATGTGTCGAGAAGTCCTTCCCAATCAGGCGGGTATGGTAGTCTAACAGTATTCCGAACATCTGATTCATACAAATACAGAGCTGGCGGGCGCCCAAAGTAGAGACTCAATTGCTTATCAACGATGAAGGCGGCCCAGTAGGCACGGCGCAAAATCTCTCGATCAACATCTGGTTCTGAGGTTCCGTTCCAGTTGTTCGGGTCCAAGTGTAGACCCATCTCGTGGGCTAAGCGAAATGCCATACCACAGAACAGCCAACCTTTCGAAGCGCGGCCACGTCCAATCTCGCATTGACCGAGCAGAAGTAGAGCTTGCAAGCTAGTAAGGTCAGGTCGGTCCAGAGCTGAGTACAGCAGCTGTTGCGCTTGGGAAGAAAACACATCATAAAGTTGTAGATCATCAGGGTTGCCAGTTGCAAGGGAACCCATGGCGCATATTGCGAAAAGTAGAAAATCGGAATAGTAGCGACCAGTTCCAACATCGTAGTCGCGAAGAAAGTACTCTCGATAGATGTACATGTTGTAAGGGTATTGCTCCCTAAAGAAGCAAGCCATCAGACGCTGCGATATGTCATCGTGAGGTGCGTACCGGAAACAGCTGTTATGGGGGCTTGCGATCTCGGAGAGCTGGTCAGCGTTAGCGCTGCCGAGTATGTCGTCGGCAACTGTCGTTTTCATGGACCAGTCGGTGCATGGCGATGTCTCTCTGTCACATATGTATATGTTGAAAAGACTGGTCCCGCCGTAAAAATGAGCTGAATTACCCCTGGCAAGTTTTCTTAGCTGACCAGCTCTTGGGCGAGCTAGCCCGGCCTCATCGTCTTCTTGTGGTGACTTGGGGTTTTCTTGACTTATGCTTGCGATGGAATCACTTGGGATGATCTGCGATTCATTCTGGGATGCAGATGGTTCTCCTGTTGCAATAAAGCAAAGCAGCATTTGCTCCCGGTGCTCGGAGTCTGCAGCTGCTAACTCTCTAATGAAGACTTCAAGGGATGCGACCTGACCTTCCAGTGCGCGAACATATGTCTTAGGCACAGGCCTTCGAGAGTAATCATGTTACAATGAGCAAGGAACAAAAGACACGACCTAGACATTGAGACAACCGTGGTCTTGGAAAAGAAACTACTCACCTTTGCTTCTCCCCGCTGCCCGCCCTCATACATTCTGTTCCGGCCTTTCGACATCTTGCGCATGGCTTTCGACGGTCGCATTTGATCTACACTCGAAACTCGCAGCGTTAGACACATTTGAGCTGAGACTGGTACTAGGGGCCAGTGCTATTGTACTTTTCGTCGGCGACACCGCTCGCATCTAATATTGCACGATATCAGACAAAATGTGAACGAGTCATGGTACCAAGTCAATCCACCTACGAAGTAGTCACAACCTCCCCTATCGGGGTCTTTGAATCGGTCTCCGGGTTTTCATTCATCATGAGAAACTGGAAATCCGATGAAAGTCACCGTGTAAAAACCAAAGGCTCCAGGCTTTATCCTATTGTAGACAGGATTTTGCCGCTTACGGAACGAACATCTCAGTGTCATGTTAGATAGAGGAGGGGCTCGAATGATAAGATAAGCGCTATTTGGCTACCTCGTTCGTCACTTCCACGCTTCCGCGGAGCGGGGAGGTGCATTATCCGAGGAACAAGTCCCCTTCCCAGGATGTTCCCCAGTTCTGGAGACCCACAGACGGGGGCGGATGTCCGCTGCCGCCACCAGATAGGGGTGCATTGAGTCTAGAGCAGGATGTAGTTTGTGTTATTGGTGCATCCTCCCGCCATTAGATAACATAAATACCAGAGTCGGGAGAGTGTAAGCGCATTGGGACTGCAACCTGCTATTGAACCATTGGACCACCCCTGATGCCGACTAAACCTAGTAAACATAACGAAATTCCAACTGCCCTTCCCCTATAGTCTCCTTTCTGTCATCACTCAATTCTCCCTTCTCGATCCGTTCCTTTTTCTGGTTCAACAATCGCAGATACCATATCTGACCAGCTATGAGGACAATACAAATGATGGCAGAAGCAAGTGAGCACCAATGTCCCAAGCGATAAGGCGCTGAACGATATACTTGAGGAGCAACTATGCCGGCAATATTTCCGATAGTCTGCTGCAACCCGATCGCTGTGGCTCGCCGATAATGAGGAGCCATGTTATTATTGATCCCTAACCACAAGCGTCAGCTCATCTGCCTTAACAGTCGTCGTTATCTCCCATGTTGATAGATGGAACCACACTCACAAATTTCGTTGAGCCCGGGTCCGCAGTAAAGCGGGATAGCGACGAGGTAGCACGCAAAGTATCGGATGCCAGGACTGTTTGCAACACCGAGAAGGATCGCATACCCAACGACCGCAAACATGTCAAGGCCAAGAAGAAACTTTGTCGACTGAGATCAGCAATCCAAACCTCAAGCTGAAGTGTCTCTGGAGATCTCACCGTTCCTCGAAGTCTCCACTTGTCTCCAAGAATGGCAGCTGTCTACGCAGCCGTTAGTCACATAGACGTCTCTTGTGACATGGGGACCGGAACTAAGACGACTTACAAAAAAGCTGACACCTCCCACAAAATACACTGGGATGCTAAGATATTGTGCCTCAAGTGCGGTGAACCCCAGATCAAGTCGCAGGATAGAAGGCAGGAAAGTACTAAACCCATACAAAATAATGTCCTGGAAGAACTGGATCAAAGCACTCAAGAAAAACAAGAGCATCAGCAATTTGGTGTACGTACAGGGGCTGGTAACTTACGTGGAATAGACTTTAGGGTCTTTGAAGGCGTTGAAGACCTCCTTCCATTCAAATACCTGACTTCCCAGATACTCTTGTCGTTGCGCTTCTCGAGCAAGCATCACTTCTCTCTCCTCTGGTTTCCAAAACTTCGCTCGGGTTGGATCATTCGGCAATCCGAACCACACCCACGTAACAGCAAGGAGGGATATCAGCCCCTCGATAACGTAGAGCCAGCTGGAGTTCGACCTATCAGATACGAAAGAGATGAAGAGATGTTCATGACACATACCTCCAAGCTCTAAGCCCTGCGCTGTGCCCAATCTTGGTAATCGCCGTTGCAATCAACCCCCCGAACATGCCAGCGAGTGAGACCGAAGTGAAGAGGTATGCCAATCGCAAGCCCTGTATGCCGAAGTTGTTAGCACTCTCTCAATATGTTCAGTTTGAGGCTTCCACGTACCTGCTCTTCTCGCTTGTAAACCATCGTGATGTACAAAGAGAGGCAAGGAAAGAAGCCCGCTTCACACAAGCCCAGAAGTAGACGCACGGCCACCAAGTCCCCGAACCGTTTGGTGAATGCTGTACCAATTGTGACGACTGACCAGCCAAAACACATTATAGAAATAGCTCGATATGGCTTAAGCTTTCTCATGGCAAGGACGACCGGAAGCTCGAATGCAACATACGTTGCAAAGAAGACGCTGACGGCGGTGCTGAACTGAGAACCGGACAGACCAAGGTCTTCAGTCAGGCCAGCGACGGCCGCATTTCCGATATTGCTTCGATCGAGGTACGCTACGAAGTAAAGGGTCGCGAAGAGGGGTGCAAGTCGCAAGTCCAGCTTTCGGAGGACTTGCTTTTCCAGCTGACGGTCGGGGATGAGAGTTGAGCTTGACAAGGCATTGCGTGCTTCTTCAGGATTCGTAGGCTTGTCCTGCGCCATCATGTCGAGTTTTGGCTCCATGGTAGACTGCGTCATGGCAGTGAAAAGGAAAAAAAAAAGTCGCAAACTTATGAACTCTGGAAGATTCTGACTATGTCATTGACTTCGGTTGCGCCTTTGCTGGTTCCTCTTGTAATGAAGGACAAAAATGGCTTATCAGTTCGCTGGGGTTGTATCGCCACGCCCCTGAAAGTGCGTTAGCGCATCAAGCTCCCTAGCCAAACAGCACAGCATGTAGGTGGGGTTGAACAAGACGGAGACGGATGCCCGTCAGTCAGATATGCAGCCAGACTTTCATCATCAGTTCGTCGTCATTCAAACCATGCGGAGGCACTTACACCACCAATCTTATTCTCATAATGTTTCCGTGCAGAAGTTGCATGACGGAAACGGATGTCCGTGGGTGTCGATCTCCGTAAATTTCAAGACCGTGCCCGCCTAAAACACGATCATATGTCCATTAATTAGAAAAAGGCACCCGTTCAATGTCTGTTGTAGTATCGGAAGCGATTGTCGACTTGCCACATATCTCTGACTATTGATCATTCTCTGTTCATCATGACTTCAACCATCAAATCTGTTGGCTACATCGGCCTAGGGCTCGCCGGCGGGCCACTGGCTCAGAATGTTGCTCAGAAGGGCTTCAAGACGATTGTTCGTGATGCTGACAAGGAGAAGCAACGGAAGTTTGTTGTTGAAAACAAGGAACTTCCGGTTGAAGAGGCTGCCGCTGGGCCGGACGCATTCAAGGACGTTGATGTGTTGATTACCATGGTGCCAAACGGCCACATCGTCAGAGACATCCTCCTCGGAGAGCAAGGCATTGCTCCATACATGAAGCCTGGTAGGATATTTGACAGTCTTTCTGTTGTAATTATTTTCTGATAAAGAAGTTTTAGGCTGTATCATCGTTGACACATCTTCCTCGGACCCTTTCGGCACCCAACAACTAGGCAAAGACCTCGAGAAGTACCAGCTGCGCCTAGTAGACTCTCCCGTCACCCAAGTCAGAATGCACGGGATCAACGATGGCGAGGCTACCTTCATGATTGGCGGGGCTCAGGAAGACATTGACTTCGCAATGCCCGTCTTGAAGACCATGTCTCGATGGCGTTTTGTTATGGGTCCTTTGGGTAGCGGCCATGTCATGAAAACTTTCAACAACTACGTCACCGCTGCCGGTATCGCAGCTCTTAACGACGCTTTTATCGTCGGTCGCAAGATGGGTTTGGATCCTGCACAGATCACGGACGTTCTCAATGTTGGCACCGGCCGCAACTACGGCACAGCTCACTCCATCAGGGCCGAGGGCCTAACAAGAACATATGCCAGCGGATATGGGCTGGCTCTACTTGTAAAGGACTTGGGCATCAATCTTGAACTGTGTGGGAAAATGGGTATTGACACGCAGCTCGCGAAAAACATGCATGGGCTTTTCAAGGAGGCTCTAGAGGAGCCCAATGTGGAGCGTACTGCGGATTACACTGAGTGTTTGAAGCTATGGGAGAGGAAGGCCGGTTTTGAATTGCCTACCGCGGTCGGGCTGAAGGAGTGTGACGAGCCTCGCGATTTCGAGACGCCTTGATACCTAGGGTAGATGCATAACTGTACTTTGACAACCAACATAGTTCTCATCCAGTGACGGGTTTCCAAATCTATTCTCCATTGAGTGCTGCAGCTCGTTTGCGATCTTTCTTGATAACGAGAAACCAGCTAGTTAGAATTGAGCAGATGCCAACCACCAAAACCGAAAGATTGACGCCATATGAAATGCGGTATCTGGGACCAAACACCGTGCTGAAGACATGCGGGCCTACAATCCCACTATGAAGCAAAGTCAGCGTAGTTCAGTTGAATATTAACGATAAGGCTTGAGCATACCCGAACTGTGCACACGCATTCGTAAGGCCAATGCCGATTCCTGATGCCACTGTTCCCTCTAGCGCCCTGATTCGTTCGGGCCAGATAACTGGGTACGCACAACCAGCGCAGGCCACAGATACGATCAAGCAGAGGTAGCGGACAATCGGGTTATCAACGAGAAGAAGAATGATGTAACACACGATAATTGTTGATTCAACTAGGACAGTCAGTTTCCCGGTGTCTTGTGAGATGTCTTCTAGAACTTACTCCCCACGGCAGTAACCCAGGGTCTAATCCACTTCCTCTGCAGCATGAAACCCAAAGCATTGAGAAGTAGAAATGCCGAGACGTATGGCGGCTGAAGATGGTTAGTGGAGTTCATCTCAAGTTGGTCTCGTTGGGATGGAAACTCACAATGTTCATCAACTGAGAGTACGCTGTAGTGGTGAATCCCAACTGGTAGATCACCGTAGGCAATGCAAATCCCACCCCAAACCCTCCAATACCATGGCAGATCCAATAAAGACTGAAGGTGTAGAGGGTTGGGTCTTTGGCCATGACTTTCAGAGATTTGAAGTCCCAATGTGACCCGCCCTTGGGCGCAGTGCTCGCAAGCCTCTCTTTTACATAGAGCCTTTCCTCCTCGGTGAGAATCTTCGCTGACTCAGGGTAGTCGGGTAGACCAAAAGCAAAGAAGGCAAGGATTATAGCAGGTAAACCTTCAAGGATGAACAGCCATCGCCATCCTGAGACCCCCCCAAGTTGGTCCATGTATGAAATTGCGTACGCCAACAGACCAGAGAGTGCACTGGATACCTGTCCCACGGAGTAGAAGAAAGCTATGCGCAAGGCCATTTCCTCAGGTCTGTACCAGAAAGCATAGTGAAACAAAACAGACGGGAAGAATCCAGCCTCTGCCGCACCAATTGCGAATCGCACGCACATCATGCCCGAGAAGTTTGTTGCTGCTGCGGAGCAACACGCCGATATGCCCCACGCCATGATGAGGATGAACATCCATCTTGACGGCTTGAACAGCTTTAAAAGTACCGTATTGGTAGGCTCGAAGATAAGATAGCTGTAAGAGAAAATAGAAAGCGTCCATGCCCACTGCGAAGGCGTGAAGCCGAGCTGTTTCTTGATGCCCGTACCGGCCTCTAGGTTGATGATGGCGGCGTTCGAATAGTTTGCGCTGTCAATAACCCGGAAGACATAAACGAGAGAGTAAAAGCCAACAAGCCAGAGGTCAATCTTTCGCATTATGCGTTTTTCAAGAACCGCATCCTTTGAGGTAGCTTCAATATCAGGGTTCGATCTTGCTTCGGTTGTTGATCCAGCTCCCTTCTCAGAAAATAGCTGCGTTTCGTTGGCAACCTGCGCAATGGTGCCGATCGGGTCCTTAGCGACCGCCATCTTGATGGAAGAGGATTGATGTACCAGTGACTGGGAGTAAATGGGAGTAAATGAACGCAGTCCTGTATGTCTTGAATATGAACAGATTTTATTCCGCAGAAGAATAATCCTTCGGTAGACATTAGTAAGAAACATGTAAAGCATTATCCGAAAGGGAAGCTGGTTCTACCAACCCGCCGGTAGTTACCAATCGCAGTGTCATCTCTTTAGAAATCTCCAATCCATCACGACATGATAACCGGAATGGCGAAGGAGGTCCCCCGTCCAATACCAACTGCCAGCTACACTATGAGCTGCAGCTCCCTGCCGTCTCAGGCTGGGATGCGGTAACGACATCTTGGACGCCATACTCAACACCACATTTCGGTATCATTCATGCATGCTTTCGGACAGTAAATGCGGAGAAATATCATTTGAAGGATTCGATATGATCCTGTGGTGATACGCTGTTTTTATTCCCGATGAGCACGTTGTTGGGGTTCCCAAGCACGCAATGGCCGATCGTGTAACTACCCCGCCTGAATAACCTCGAGTATGAGGGTTGAGTACTGGAGTAAGATCCGGTTATAAATGAGGCTCAAAGAATTTTGGGGACTATTGTTTTGTTGGATTTCAATCAAATTCCAGGTCCTAAACACTACCATGGCCCCTTCCGCAGTTTCACCGCCGCCATCTACAACTGGCACATTGCTTGTCAAGCCCTGGTCACGCCCCCAGGAGACTAAAGAGGATCTAGACTGGGCTCCTCTTACTACCATTGATCTTTCGCGGTTCGACGAGCCGGGAGGCAAGCAAGATCTCGCGAAACAACTTTATGATGCTATCACGCGAGTGGGATTCTGGGTTGTTACCGGCACTGGTATCGATGATGAACGTATCCTACGGCAGTTCAGTATCGGAAACACCTTTTTCAAGGAACCACTTGATGAGAAAAGAAGGTTCCCTTGCAACTTCGCAGAAGGCGAGTATTTCGGATACAGGGAGAACGAGAGATGGATTGGTGACACGGGCGTCAAAGAGAATATTGAGATGGTATGAGACTGTGCTTCTCCTATGGGAACCATTGTTTGACCACAGGATTTCTGACAAGAGCTCAGCTGAACATCCACAAAGACATTCCAGCCTGGGGACAGGTCGGTCGTCACCGTGTTGTGGAGGAAAACTGGGACGAGATCCGCAACTTCCATCGTGAGGTCTGGGAAGTTGCCCGGAAGCTCTTCGTTCTGATCGCAATCATCCTGGAACTACCAGACAATTACCTTGCAGATGCACATGCTTATAATCAAGTCTCGGATGATCATTTGCGGTACATGATCTACAACGTTCGGACAGACGAAGAGTGGGACAAGGCGCAAGCATACTCAAAGGGAGGACACACGGACTTTGGCAGTTTGACTCTTCTTTTCTCTCAGCATGTTGCAGGGTTGCAAATCCGGACTCCTGAGGGGGATTGGAAATATGTGAAGCCCGTCGAAGGGGGCATTACCTGTAACGCTGCGGACACCCTGACGTTCCTCACGAATGGTAAGTCAACCTTTTCCCCAAGCAAGTTTCCATGCTTTTCTGACTCGAAGACAGGATTCATCAAGTCAACAATTCATCGTGTGGTAAAGCCTCCCAAAGACCAAATCGACATTCCTCGACTAGGGCTGCTGTACTTTAGTCGTCCGGGAGACCACACGCCAATGAGAACTGTGCCGTCCCCTCTTCTAGACCGTCTCGGACTAATCAGGGAAGAAGATAAGGACTTGAGCAAACCGGTGCCATCGGGGACGGAGTATGTGAGGGCAAGGGTAAAAGATGTGCATCACAAAAAGGTGCTGGACAAGCGACAGGGAACGTCATTTCAGTTCAAGGGGTTGCAGGTGCAGAATCACTATGAATAAGAACATCCAGGACACAGCGTTGTGGAACAATTTCTGAACATGAATTCAACAAGTCTTTTCGAAACGGCTTGATTGAGATAAGCCAAGATCCTTACTTCGTATGGGCTCCACCAGTTTTGGGGCCGGCCCAGAAGCGGAGGTAGAAACCCGCGCCGTGCCTTCGGCTGCTGGTCTGCCAATCTTATCCACAATTAGGTCGAGCGGTGACGGAAGTCCGCAGAACTCTAGCCGCTGGAGATTGACTGACCCAGGGGTTGGAGTGGGAAATCATTCAACGTACTTGAAGTTAAACAGTGGCTGAGGTGGGACGTTTCAAAAAACGAAGCATACGGCGACATGATTCAAAGTCTTGAATGAATCTTCTTTTCAATTAGTGTACTTGACTTCGAGAAATTGTAACGACAATGTCCGTTCAACATCAGACACGCATTTCCCTGCCGGATGGTACGGCATATGATCAACCGACTGGTGTTCTGATTGACAATGAATTCCATGCGTCCAAGGACGGCAGCACCCTCGAATCTATCAATCCGTACACCCAGCAAACAATTTGCTCGTATTCTCGAGGAAGCAGCGACGATGTTAATATTGCAGTGGCTTCCTCAAAGCAAGCATGGCGGGGTTGGAGGAGAACGACACCTAGTGAAAGGGGAAGACTTCTAAACCGCCTTGCTGATCTCATTGAAAGAGATGCAGACCAATTGGCAAAAATTGAGGTGCGTATCTATCCAGCCTTGGAACAACTCGCCAGACACTAAATCACCATTGCAGTCAATCGATGCTGGAAAACCTGTCAGGATGGCCAAAGTTGCCGATGTTCTCGCGTGTGCGGCCTGTTTCCGATACTATGCAGGATGGTTAGTTTTGGTCTGTCCTGAGCTTTGCTTCTGTTTACTCACCGCATCTTCAAATTTTTAGGGCAGACAAGATCAAAGGTGACAGCATTGAGACTGACCCAAACATGCTGAGCCTCACCCTGCGAGAGCCTCTGGGGGTCTGCGGTCTTATTATTCCTGTAAGTTGATTACTTCCCCTGACCCGCCAGCACATAAAAGCTCTAAATTCTTGATGGACTCGTCTAATTTCCTCTCAATGGAACTTCCCAATCCTGATGTGTGGATGGAAACTCGGGCCTGCCTTGGCTGCTGGAAACGTCGCTGTCTTGAAGCCCGCAGAACTCACTCCGCTCTCGGCGCTGTATTTGGGTAAGCTGGTTGTTGAGGCCGGATTTCCTCCTGGTGTTGTCAATATCGTACCAGGTCTTGGAAACGAAGCCGGAGCTGCGTTATCCAATCATCCAGACGTTGCGAAAGTATCTTTCACTGGTAGCACTGCCGTCGGAAAGAGCATCTTGCATGCATCTGCAGATAGCAATTTGAAGAAGGTCACTTTGGAGCTGGGTGGCAAGTCACCAAGTATTGTTTTTGGAAGCGGCAACTTGGATGAGGTGGTCGAGTGGGTGAATGGCGGCATATTTTACAACATGGGGTAAGTTGCTGTGGATTCCTTGGTTTATTTTCAACTGACCCAGAGACTCTTTCTTCTAGACGAAACTGCTGTGCGAGTAGCCGCGTCTTTGTTCATGAGAGCGTCTACGAGGCTTTCATCGCCAAGTTTGTTGAAAGGGCAAGAAAGAACCAATTTGGAGATCCCTTCGACGACGAAACCTTTCTGGGCCCCCAGATCAGCGGCAGCCAGCACTCTAAGATCATGGGCATGATCGAAAAGGCGAAGACTCAAGGTGCCGTTTGCGCAACGGGGGGACGTAGCCCTTCTGGCTGGTTCATTGAGCCTACAATCTTCCGCGACGTCAAGGTGGACATGGAGATTGCGAGAGAAGAGGTCTTTGGGCCAGTCGTGGCCGTTGCATCCTTTAGTGACGAGGAGGAAGCTTTGGCAATGGCGCATGATACCTGCTATGGGCTCGCCGCGGCAGTCTTCACGTCTGACATCAAGCAGGGAATCAAAATGGCGAAAGAGCTTGAGGCGGGAACAGTTTGGGTGAACTGTTACAACAAGATTTCCTATGCTCTTCCGTTCGGTGGGTACAGACAAAGTGGCAACGGGAAGGACTTGGGAGAAGACGCCATCTACGGCTTTACGCAGTTGAAGACTGTAGGAATCATGTTGTAATTACACTGCAAAATCAATCGAGGAAATAGGATAAGGAGCTACGATGTCATAAGCACGTGGCAATTATCAAGTAAAGGTGGCTGCACCTGCCGTTCCTAATCAAGATCGTAACCAAGTTACTCCCCAGCCTCCACGCCTGAATCCTAATGTCAAGGTGTCCAGGCATTGAGTGTGGTGCCCCGCGGCCAAGTCACCGATTCGCTGAGTCTCACGCAGAATTGGGAGCTCGTCCCGCCAAACACTTACCGGAGAACCCTCTTCTTGGCAATGAGTCGCGTGGATAAGCTTCGTGCAGGTGGGCGTTGCCCCGGGAGGAGCTCCTCTTCCCCGCGCCCGTCGCACAGAGGAGCTCCACGTCCACAGTCCACTCCGTGCCGGGCGGAGTCACTCTCCCTCTTCCACATTGCTGCAGCACCTACAATCCACCAACCCATGACGAAAGAGCTGAGTTGCAAGGGTATTGGGAACCGCCACTGGCTCCACGTACATTTGAGCCAGGCGGAGGACTTGAGAGCCATTGTGGACGTTTCGCGGAGCATCGCACCACATCCTGCATCTTGTTTGCAGACCCAATTTCTTGTGACCTATTGTGTCAAAACATCACCTTCATACTCTAAGTGTAGTATCCGTTCAGTCGTATATCAATCAAGACTTCATCGACTCAGTGAAGTCTGATGAACCACTCACTCATCAAGCACATCATTGATCAAGTCAAACATCCAAAGATCAAGAAGACTTTCGAATTACAGATACCAATCTCAAATTCTCATCAAGCACACATATCTACGCTTGCCCAATATGGTCGCCGACATCAACCAGCTCCCGCCCTACACACCGCCTCCCCCTACCAAGGAGGACTGTGAGTACCCCAGACTGCACAGAACCAACTGCATTTGCATTTGCATTTGCACTTGCACTTGCAAGGATAAGGCTGACCACAGACCGCTTTGCAGTGGACTACGTCGACCTTGTCAACATTGATCTCGCCAAATTCGACGACCCCGAGGGCCGCAAGCAGCTTGCTAAGGACCTTTACGAGGCCGCCACCGGCTACGGCTTCTTGACGCTCACCAACCATGGCATTTCGGACGAGACCTACCAACGCCAGATGCGCATCGCCAACGCGGCAATGACGCTGAAGCCCGATGAGAAGGCTCCTTATGAAGGTAAGCATCGAGTAAGCATCCCTCTTGGCTTGAAGCAATACTGACAGATGATAAGTTACTCCTGAAGAGGACGCCCGTGGTCTGTACGCAGGGTACAAGCCGGCCGGTCCTCTGGGCCACAAGGGCGGCTTCCCCAAGGCGCTTGATCACTACAACATGCTGGTCCACGACCCCAAGAACCGCGACCACCCCGAAATCATCCGCCCATTCATGGAGGAGACATACGAGGTTATGAGCTACATCAGAACCAACATCCTGGTGAAGCTTTTGAAGATTGTTGCCGACATTCTCCAAGTCCCCGAAGAGGCTGTGCTTTCTACCCATGCCCCCGGAGGATCTAAGACCGAGTATCTCCGCTACGTGAGTGTTGTCGTCGGTGCTTGCAAGATCGTGACTGACCCAAGCTAGATGATGTGCGAGCCCCGTACCAAGGAGGAGAGTGAGAAGTACCGCGAAATCTTCCTGGCTGGCCACACTGACTGTGGGTTTTTAACCGCATTGACCAAGAAAATGGCATCGCTAACGTGAAATCACAGGGGGCACCTGGACCTTCCTCTTCTCACAGCCTGTCGCGGCTCTTCAGGTTCTCTGCCACCACACCGGCCGCTACAGATACGTCAAGCGTAAGTCACCGCACAACATATCCCAAATTCATCATCTGACAGTCGACATAGACCAGCCCCATGGCATCGTCGTCAACTTCGGTGAGGCCCTCGAGCGCCTTACTGGCGGTCTCTTCAAGGCTACTATCCACCGTGTGACGACCCCGCCCGAGGACCAGCGCCATCTCCGCCGTATCGGTGTCATCTACTTCTCCCGCCCCGCCGACGAGCGTGAGCTCGTTCCCATCGAGAACTCTCCTCTTCTTCAGAAGATGGGTACCGATAAGCCCATGGACGACCGCGTCTTCTGCATGGCCGACTACCTCGATGCCCGTAAGCACGGTTGGAAGCGATACGACTTTGACATGGACCGTCCTCGCGAGGACGGCAAGCACCAGGACCCCTTTGACGTAAGTTTCCAACCAGACTACTCTCTACTTACAAATCTGACAAGTAATGCAGGGCGAGTACCCCGACCCCGAGGGTCATAAGAGTCTCGGAAAGTTCGACAACGTGCCCCGTCTCCAGTACAGCCTTCCGACTGTCAAGTCAACTTAGGATTTAGAATGTGTATGAATTTGCCTTCGGATTGGACTTGGCGTCTTTTGTAGCATTAATGAGAATTTCTTGATATGTAAACACGCGCTCACTTTGATTGTGATCACTCTTATGTAGACTGAACGTTTCGAACCCCCAACTAGCGCCTGCGTCACTGCCATTGGAAGACGTGGTCGTTACCAGTTGACCTTTGGGACGCCCTGCTTCTGGAAACGAACCTTGATACGTGCTCTCACAGTCTCTTCAACGGCCAGTGAAAAAGAAGTGGGCTCTCGCAGGCTGCCATATCTCGAACCCCGCATTACATTCAGGTCCTGGAATGACGAACCCGATTTGAAGACTCCGGAAAATATTTAGCTAACTCCGCTGGTTTTACTTGCGAATCACACAAGTCACACGGTGCAAGTAGTCTTGGTATGAGCGACGGAGGAATTCTTCGGGTGTCGTAGAAAGCGTTGTCATCATTCACTCATCGGCGCTGCGTACGCCTCCCTCGCTTTTGCTAGACTCTCATGCATCACTGCCGCGACCCAACTTCCAACTGGCCAGGTCGTTCGCTTCGTAAAGTTCGCCACAATCCATTCCAAAAAGCGCACTTCGCTCCTCGCCAGATCAACAGGTCTGTCCAGCATAGCTAGCGCAGCCGCAGCATTCTCTGCACCATCGTCTCCTCCGGTTCCAACGCAAGCCATGATGGCGTCCAGCACAAAGCGACTTGGGTTCGACCTTCCATTGTTGCTGTTACCCAGCATCATACCTCCGCTATTGTCGTTACTACGTTGTGCGGCTGGCATTGTCAGGCGGACTAGACGCCAGCCTACGAGGCAGATCTTGAAGCCGAGGAGTGTTATGAAGGGGTTCTCGAGGGCAGGAGGAGCAGTGGACTTGATCGGATTTAGAAGATCGAGGGCCATTTCAAGATCATTGAGCTACCCAGAAGTTAGCGACACTTGACTGTAAAAGGAAACTTGGGATATATACTATTCTGAAGACGTCACGATCTTCGTAGATGTCCCGCTTGTCTTTACTTCTGGGTGTTGCCAAGTGACCGGCCGCTAGAACACAATTAGCGATAATTCCGTCTAGCCTTATTCAACACGATACTTACTAGCTATCGCTAAAGGCAGATTCGACTCCACAACTCCACTAACCAGCAAAGAGTCCGGATGCGATAGAGTAATAGACGTATAATACCACAATATCCAGAAGGTGTGCCATAGAGGTGTCTGGTCATCATGACTATCCGACAGAACATCCATGCGGCCAAAGTCGAAAAAGCTGAAGACGGGCTTTTGACTTCGTGGCACCAACTCAGCAATGCTCTTGAGGGCTTGGGAAATCTGTGCGTGTTGCTTATCAGTCAATATTGACAGAGCGCGCCGTTGAGCCTTTGGGCGCTCTAGAAGACAACTGGCATGGGTAAGTTCGCGAGCCATCATCTGCAGCTGCGTCACCAAGATGACGGCAGCAAATGGGGATGCCCATAGCAATCTCAGCTTCTTCGGTTTGTGTTTCTCTCCAGGGCCTCTCTGGCTGTCGTCGTTTCGATTGGCGTGGAGGAGAGTCTGAGACGCTTCGTAGAAGAAGCCCTGACTTGGCGGCGTCTCATGTGCGTATGCTTGATCGTCGGGTTCGTCAAAAGACTTGAAGCGCTGTCGCCGCTTCTCGGACCAATCTCTGTCTGAGCGCGCCAACCATATGTCTTCGCAGCATGGAAGATCGTACTTGATCTCGAGAGATGATAGCATTGGTCGAAGATTGCAGAGAATAGCGAGCTGGGAGTCCAGGAGATAAAGCATATACACGCAACGCTTTCTTGACTCCTTTCGTATGAAGTCTTGCCACTGCTCAGTGAGAGCTTCCGCACTCACAGGCTCCTGCATGTCGTCCTCGTCACCTTCTTCACCGTAGCCGCTGTCTTCCCCAGAGGTCATCGACAGAGATTCGAGCGAACTGTCTTGCGACATTTGAAGTAAGCGAATGGCATCGATCAGGTCGCGGTGTATTCGTTGCGCTTTGAGGAAGCTTGTGTCGTTGCCGCCGTAAATGCCGAGGAACTCGAGGAGGAGAAAAGTCTGCAAGACCCATGTTTCTTGATATCTCGATCGATTTTGCTCCACCTGAGATGATTAGTTAATGTACGATAATCACGACTCGAGAAAGACACTGACATATTGCTGCAGTGAAGACAATGTCGACTCAAAGACTGCCTTGCGTGTCGCTTCATCTACAGTCGATTCGCAGTAAAGACTACCTATACATGTGATGACATTCAGGAGTGGTACTTGGGTCGACACAATGTGAAAAGACGCCTCGTGGAGTATCGGAAAGTTGCGATGAAAGCCTTCGAAAAAGCTCTCGACGCACCGGATTTCACTGGAAATTCTAGTGTGGAAGCAGTATTATCAGCAAGGATTCCATTGACAACGTTATCTGAAAGGTCATACGCCGGTGATGTCTGTTCATAGCTCTGGCTGATTTGTTGCATCGGCTCAAGCATATCGCCTTGAGGTTGCGGGGGATGCGTTAGCAGCACATCGAGCCATGCTGCTGTGCTTGGAGAATCTCCGACCGTTGGTGTCAGGGAAGGCGGGGGAGCTGTTTTCGAAGGCGACGCGGAGGTTGAGATATGGCAATTCTCAACATGCCGTTTCCTCAAGTCGCTATTAAAAAGTCAGCGTTCCAATAGGAATCCTTGAACTGAAGTATCCTTATCGCATATGTCGAGGCGTTTACCTACCTGCGCGCGAACTTGGCATTGCATTGAGAGCATGGAAATACGGGTGCATTTCGTCCCTTGTGGTCTAACAAACGGTCAACGATTGAAGATACAGGACTCGAAGCTTAGCTTACGCGTGTTGACATGGCGCTTCAGGTTCTCCTACAGGTGACGTAACACGAGTTCATATGTAAGTCTTCATCCTGGTAACGGACGCGTTATCCTAGACCATAGCTTACCTGACGCGTGAACCCCTTTTTACACGTAGCGCATTTGAACGGTCGAGGTAGAGTGTCATCCATCTTGGAAAAAGGTAGAAAGTGGCTTGCCGATGGTGAAGAATGAGGAACGACGCATCGCCATGGATTATTGCCAAAGTCTGGGGGAGGAGGTGGACGACCGGGGTGGTCTCCGTGGACAAGACCAGGCTCGGAGTACGTACCGAGTGGACGCAGATATCCGATAAACAGGGAGATACTCGTTCAGGTCAAGTTTGTCCACCCACGTGATAAAGAACAGGTGGACAATAACGATTAGATAAGTTGAACACGGTTGTTCCCGTCAAGTTCAAGGGGTGTTTGGCCAATCATGAATTCTATAAATGCGATTTCGGGGTCTCATATCCGGCTCCGCTCTTATCGATGCGGAGAAGCCTCCGTTGCCCCCGCTGCCGCCGGCGCGTTATCGTCCCTTTTCCTGATTCACATTCTTCAGGAAACTGTATCTGTCCACCTCCAGGCTCGCTTCAGATCGGCTTTCCTCCCACAACGTCCAAAACGTAAGGCTCTCCATCAATCTTCTTCCAGATATCATCGCTCTTGATTCGCCAGTACCAATCGTGGATGGCGGGGTGCGCTTCCGTCCACTTCTTGGCAAAGACCTGTGCAGCGCTGCGGTTAGCAATTGAAACTGAAATCACCGACATCGGTCCCCTGCTTTCCCGAGGGGAGGGGAGAGGCAAGTCAGGCCGGCGAACGGGAAAGTGATGGTACTCACAAACTGGTATCCTCTGGCAATAGCTGCCACAACGAAAAGGTCGGCTATCGTGAGCTGGTCTCCAACGAGGAACTTCTTGCCCGTCAAAGCCTTCTCCACAACGCTGACCATACCCTCGCTGTTCTTCTCTGCCGCCGCCAGAACCTCGGGAGCAGCTGGCTCCTTAGCCTTAACGGGATTGATCCATGCCATGATGGGGGGCAGGAGCTCGCTGTTAGCGAAAGAAGCCCACTTCAATATCGTCGCCTCCTCCTCGAGTGTTGAGCCCAAGAGCTTGGTGTTAGGGTCTTGCTTCGCCACTGTGACCGTGTTAGATAGCCGTCTGTTGTGGACGATGCTTGGTGCAACTCACGATAGATCGCTACGGGAATGCACTCGAACAATGTGAAGCCATCGGGACGCTCAAGAGCGGGGACCTTTCCCGGAGGGAACTTCTCCAAGTATGCCTGACCAACACCACCCTTGCTGGGGTCGACCTTAATGGGCCATGCCTCAACGAACTCGATATCGAGCCTGGACACGACTCTCGTTAGCATTTTCCCAGTCTTCGTGCGGCATCAATGGAGTCTTACTTGTTGTACTCGGCGATGTAGAGACACTGAGTCGCACGAGGCGCCTTAGGGTACCAGTAAAGCTTTCCGAAACTCATGTTTACTGACGTAAGGTAGATCGAGGATATTGACTATGACGTATGTCCGAAGATGTTGGTTGATACTGGAAGATGCAGAGGACACCCGAGGCTGGTCAACGACCAGGTAAATAAACTCAAAGAATGCCCTTCTCGGCAATCTGTCCGGGAGCTCTTCCCCATCGTTATCTTGCCATTTTCAAATCCACGACATGACAGTATTCCACGGGTATCGTCGCGACGTGGAGCTCCTTCGATGAAGCGTTTCCCCACGTGGAGCACACCTTGGGGTTGACGGCGGCATCCACAAAAGCTCAGCCGTTGCCATGCAAGATCTGCAGGGACCAGGCCCAAGCCCCTCGGAGGCGTCCTCCGGAGCCTTCGGTGTCCAACGCCGGAGTCGGCAACAACTAATTGGGTATGAATGGGTGACATTTCGCGTGCAATCCCCCCGCCCTCATACTACTCACGACCTTTTTGCCTCTTTCTTTGCAAGTTTGCACTCGCCCGGAGCCCTATTCATCGCGTACAATCATGTCTGGAACCCAAATCGGCTGGGTTGGCCTCGGGTCGATGGGCATTGGTATGTCCACGAACCTGCAAAAGTTCCTCTCTTCCTCTGGCGCTCCTCCTTTGGTCTACACGAATCGCACGCTATCGCGCGGGGAATCTCTGGAGGAGCTCGGCGCAATTCCTGCCGAGACGGTCTCTGAAGTGGCCAAGAAGTCATCAATCATCTTCTCGTGTGTAAGTTATCTCACGATGAAATCGGGATCTTATTGAAGATTCCGAGCTAATGATCGCGCTCAGGTGAGCAACGACGCTGTCCTTCAGGATACCGCGAACGAGATTATCAAGTCAGGCGACATCACAGGCAAGATTTATGTTGACTGCTCAACCGTTCACCCCGATACCTCCGCGAATGTCTCGAAGCAGATCACTGAGGCTGGCGGTCAATTTGTTGCCGGTTAGTTTACAATGCAATCCCAAAGATTTTGTACCAAATTCATCTGCTGACATGTTTCCCGCAGCCCCGGTCTTCGGCGCCGCCGCGATGGCCGCTGCCGGAAAGCTTATCTTCGTCACCGCCGGCCCCGAGTCTGCGACATCAGCCATCTCGCTTTACCTCAACGGCGTCATGGGGCGTTCCGTGATCCCCATGGGAACCGATGTCACAAAATCCAGCTTGCTCAAGATCGCCGGAAATATCGTCGTGGTCTCCTTCATGGAGGTGCTCTCCGAGGCCCATGTATTCGCCGAAAAGACTGGGCTTGGCTCACCCGTGCTGGAGAACATGATCTCCGACATGTTTGGTCCTGTGCTTGAAAGCTACAGCAAGCGAATCACTTCTGGTGCCTATGCGCCTCCTCCTGACGGCAAGGCCGGTTTCGACGTCGCGCTGGCCATGAAGGACTTGAGACATGCGCTGAACTGCGCGAAATATGCGGGCACAAGATTGGAGACGAGCGAAGCAGCACTGCGGCATATGGAAGCTGCCCGAGCATTTGAGGCAGAGAGACCCCTGGACAGTAGTTCCATGTACGGTGCTGTTCGGAGAGAAGCGGGTCTGGATTTTTACTCAGATGCCTGCAAGGAACGGGATGCAAAGAAGTAGTCTATACACAGACCGTACAAGCGAAATGATGATATTTTTACCACTTCCACAATCAAGGCAAAAGTGAGTATCAACCTCTGAGGCCAAAGAACTGCCCACAAAGGTCTTGAACTTGGCCTACCGGCAACATCGGGCTTCTAGGATAGCCCAAAAGATAAAAAATTGCGCCGAGGGGGAATCGAACCCCCGGCTCCCCGACGCTGCTTGATGGCAACGGAGAATTTTACCACTAAACCATCGGCGCTAGTGACGTTCTTGACGATGTTTGTCGAGTTCGTTGAGTGGACCAAAGGGCAACTTGGTTATGGTCCATTGGTGCAGAGTTGTGGGCCAAGGTGGAGGAGGCTGGTATGGACGGTACTTTGAATGGTTGAGAACTGGAGACATAGAAGCCGAGAGCTTATAATGCCCGTGAACAGAGTCGAAAGCGGAGAAAACACAGGGTCTTGATTTCTGCATTCAAGTTGCGATGCTAGTAGTTTCCAGCCCTTGGGCATCTTTCATGCATGGGCCTATGTGATAGCCTTCCTGTCGCGGCCGATCTCGGTCGAACTCAAGCCTCTTATACCCATGCCTTCTCGCATAGAGATACTCTTTCATGGTGTAAATCTTTTCGTCCAATGGCTTGTCCGCTCCAATTCTCCGGAGAACTGGGCTGTCAATCGGCTCGAGCCTCTGCGTGCCTGCAGGCCGGGCAAAGTATATCAGGCCAAGTCGCTTGGCTCTTTCTTGATCTTCCGGCGGCTTGACCATCCTGTGAACCGGTGCCTTGAAAAGACCGCCTGTCATCAATTCGAATGCTTCACCGACATTGACGACTAGCGTCCCCGGAACGTAGCGTACCCATTTCCATTCCCCTGGAGATACCCGAACCTGGAGTGAGGAGACAGGCTGGGCGAACGTAAACGTGAAAGAACCGAGATCAGTGTGCCCAGCCAAGTATAAGTCTCGGTATTTCCCATCGGTGGCTGGGCGGGGGTTGTACACTATGTATCGGAGATAGTCGGTCGTTTCGTTTGACAACGTGTGTGTTGACAGGATGCTCTCTTCGGGTACCTCCAAGATCAAAGCTACGAGGAGAAGAAGCTTTTCCAATACTGAACGGCGAACGAGATCGACTAATTCGGAGACTTGAAACAGGCGGGACTGTAGCAATGGTGGGTGTGACCGGCTTGTCGGATCCCAGGCTGATATGTTGTAGTGGTCAACTGTCTTGTGGAAACCTTCCTTGGTGCTTAGACCGCATGAAGGTTTGAACCCTGCATACCGACCCTGGGCTTCCTCTTGCGGCGAGTTCTCGTATGGCCTCTTTTCCGGAGGAGGAAGAGTCAGTAAGGCATTGGCGAGGTCAACGTGGGTGTTATAGCGTTCTTCGGTGATGCCATGATTGGTGACAGTCAAGATGCCGTGGGTAACGACGCCTTTGAGAAGATCCTTGGCTAGCTGTGCGCGACTTGAGGAATCGTCGTATTTCGACAGGTCGAGGTTCACGAGGTCGACGTAGTCAAGCACCTCTGTTGTTGGCTCGCATTGGGTGAATTTTGGGATGGCATCGCTTGTATCGGAAGTCATTAGAGTAGTTGCTGATAGAGAATTGGCGGGTTTATTCAAAGGGGTTCAGTATTGGCGATGTCTTCTAAGCCTCTAGCCACCTGAAGCGGCAGTCATATTATTGAAATCATACTGCTCTGCTGTCCCACGAAGCACAATGACTCGCCCTCCAAGGGTCTCACTCTGCTGTGAGCTTTTCGGAGCCTCCAGCCAAAGCTTGGCTGCGTCCCGAATGCGCCTGTCTATCAGTGGTGCTGGTGCACTTGGACGTGGACTACGGTGTTTACATATGTTGCACAATGAGGACAATGCTCCACGCGGACGGGACCACTTGTGAAGGACCCCCAAAACCAGCACGATTGCTTCGAAAGCAAATCACGTTCGCCGCATTCGTAACCTTCTCTGAACCATCCCAACACCCGAGCTGAACAAGGACCGCGGCGAGATCTCCGCTGTACCCCGCAAACTCAGCGGGTCGAGCTAGAGGTGGAGGCGAGGACGGATAACCAAGGGACGAGGGGATTCAGAGATACGGCGTGGTATTGACACCTGGAGCTCCACCTTTTAGCTTCGTCCGATCCTTGTCCGCGCCAACGCTTACCCCCAATCATGCCGTAACTGCATAGCACCCCCTCTTATCTCTAGTATCTCAGCCAGCATCCCCTGGTGGTGGACTGTGGTGGAGCAGGCCAAGAAGGAAAACGCTCGTGAGTCGTTCGCTCCAGCAACTCTGTCCGGCGATGCCTATCTCGTTTCGCCTCTGGAGGGCGCTGCAACACCATGCTCGGACACGTAGACCTTGGTATGTCGATGTCAATCCGGCTGTAAATAGCCGAGGGAATGTGCGCATTTGGCGAAGAGGAGCAGCAGTATAATACCTAATCACACCACCACTCCTCACGTCGCTCCCGTTCTTGTTGAAGCGCAGCAGCAGCAGCCCCCCAACCGACTGCTCCGCCGTCAACAATCCTCAACTCCCTTGTTCAACCCTCAGCTCCACCTGCATCCCCAGAGTTGGAGTCGACAACAAACGAAATACCATTACAACTGACAACTTCGGATTTGTGTCTATCCTTCGTGCGAAGTCAGTCGGAGACCGAGACGCAATGGCAGGCTCAACCGTGGCTTCGACGGCTCCTGAGCCTGTGGCTCCCAGCAGATGGTATGACAAGTGGAGGTGGTACGAACTCAGCACTTCCAAGGAGGAGAAGGCTCTGTTGTTCAAGTTGGATTTCATGATTCTGACTTTTGGATGTCTCACGTTCTTCACCAAGGCAAGTTTCTCAGTTGTCGACATGCAAGTAAGTGCACTGCTGACGGACCTGATGTACAGTTCCTCGACCTTCAAGCCTTTCAAAATGCATACGTCAGCGGGATGAAGGAGGACATCGGGATGGAAGGCAATGACCTGCAGTACACCACCGGAGTGTTTCAGGCTGGTTACTGTGCTGCCATGATTCCCTCCAATATCATCTTGACCCGTGTCCGGTGAGTCAATATAGATGGATCTCAGTTGATATGAAGGAAGCTAACAAACGGATTTGCCAGACCCAACCTGCTGATTCCCGCTTTCGAAGTCCTTTGGGGCATCTTGACCTTGCTCACCGCGTATGCCAAAGACGTGAAGCATGTCTACATCATCAGATTCTTCTCTGGAGTGTTCGAATGCGTGGCCTATCCTGGAGTCATCTACTGTATTGGATGTTGGTACAAGAGCACTGAGATTTCCCGGCGACTGAGTTTGTTCTACATTGCCGGACCTTTGGGAACTGTAAGTCTCCGCCGACGAACCGTATTGATATAATTCAGTGCTGACAAGGTTTAGATGTTCGCTGGGTACTTCCAAACAGCTTGTTACACCAACCTCAACGGCGTCAACGGGCTTGCTGGATGGCGTTGGCTGTTCATTGTCTGCGGCTGCATCACGCTGCCCGTTGCCATCCTTGGTCTCACCGTCTTCCCCGCTCGTCCTGACTCGAAGCATCCTTCATGGCTCTTGACGGCCGACCAAATCACTCTCGCCCGTCGCCGAGTTTCTGAGGGTGGATCCGAGGCGCCAAAGGTCAAGTTCGACCGCAAGGCCATCACCGACGTGTTCAAGGGATGGCACTGGTACGCTTTCGTCGCTCTGTACTATGTCTTCAACCAAGCCATGATTACAAACGGCCAGCCGTTCAACCTCTACCTCAAGGCGCACGATGACCGCTACTCCATCAGCCAGATCAACAACCTGCCCACCGGCCAATCAGCTATCTCGATCGTCGCTGCTCTGATCGGATGCTACTGGGCCGATGCGACTGGCAAGCGCTGGCTGCCTTCCATCTGGATTTGCGGTTTCATGACTATTGGTGCTATTTGCATGGCGGCGTGGAACATTCCCGAAGGCCTCAAGTTCTTTGCCTTCTATGTTGCCGGGCTGGGCGGTGCTCTGAACCCTCTCTTCATGTCATGGGCTTCTGAGGTCACCTTCCGATCTGCCGAAGAGCGCGCTGTGGTTGTGTCCTCGATGAACGCTGTCGGTCAAGCCCTTCTGGCTGGCTTGAACATTGTCACATTCCCGACCCCTCAGGTAAGCTTTGAAGAGTTTCTTGTCTCTACTTCAGGGCCTGACTAACATGTGTATAGGCACCGCGATTCAAATTCGGCTGGTACTGGGTCATGGCCAACAACATCCTCCAGTTCGGACTGGTTCTCGTCATCACGACACTTCATAACCGCGAGAAGAAGAGCATGGAGATCTTGGAAGGTCAGGCCGAGGACATCGAGCAGATCAAGGTTGCCAACACCACCAAGGGAGACGACGAGTCTGCCTGATCCTGCATAACATCACTTCACGGACCAAACGGTTGGGGCTGCATTTCTGTCATTTGGTTCTTCGTCGCTCTTTTTCTTTTTTTGTATACTAGCTACTCGGAAGCGGGCGTCTGGAGTCTGTCAGTTGGGGGGCTTCATGATACCCTATGCCACGCCGAGACCAGCCGCCGGTTGGGGGCTGTGGCTGTTTTGATTTAGGACTTTGGCTTGGTTTGCTTGGAAACTACCTAGTACTCTTGCGGGAATCAGTTGGGAGCATGTAAACATACCGGAGATTGACACGGAGCGAGCATGTCAACGGCATCATGGTATGAGGCCTTGTCAATAAAAATACCCAGTTGATTTTCCCGTAACCTTTCGCAGAGTATGATACGTATATGTAAACCAACATATAACGCACTTGTCTCTAGATATTGTCCAAGAATATCAGTACGGCCTTTTCTGTCCTGCACCCGCATCATGTGTCAATTGAGTTGTCGGCATTTGTTGGTGAAAATCAGCCCCCTGGCGCCCGGAAGACCGCCGTGGCAGCCAGTGTAGTGTGCCGGGAATCAGTGCTGGAATACCTAGCCTTTCGACATCAAAAAGCTGGGAGCCAGACACCTCTGATAAATCCATCCCACTGGAACTCCTCGCTGGAAATTTGAATCATCTTAGTCTGAATATTGACATTCTGTTTAGGTGAATTAATTACTCCGTCGTCTTGGCTGGCTTGATTAACAGCCAGCGAATCGCCCATTGCGACGCGTCTGCGTTCACTCGCTCAAAAATTGTCCCCAGAGTCGAAATATTAGACAACCTTCGTAACTGGATCTGAATATTGCTATTGACTCATCCATCAATGCTGTGTTATGAAAAGCTTTGTTGAACACCCATTAATTGAGAAGAATGCGAAACGACTGTCGGTCGGCGCGACATTGCTCCTTCGCCAACGTAAATCCAAGCGAGTGCGAGAGACACACACGTCACTGACTCAGATGGAGGCATTGGTTTGGAAGCGCACGCGTGGCTAGTGTCAAGGGGTTGGCGAATAGTTAGGCCGTCGGGAGAAAATACTCTCAACTTGTCCATGTTGTCAGCAATTCCCACGCGTCCCTTTGCGCCTTTCCTCATGTCGTATGTACCTAGCGAGCGTCCTGCTCCCAGCAGCAGCCACGATCGCATCGCTGGGGTCTTGATCGCTTGAGCTTCCCCCAGCTAAGCCCTTCTTTGCCTAGCCCCTCTGCGCTTTCGCTTGTTTTTCGCATCGGAGGAGTCGGACCAACGCTTTTCGGGCAGGAAGGATGATTACGTTCTTGGATTTCTCCCACAGCTGACTGGTTAATCTCGCCAACCGACTGCGCGGAGCGTCGACAACCCACCCGACCGTCCGACCGTCCGACGCCTTAGTCTCAACGGGCGATGGCTTCAAGCCTCCTTACGACATCCGCCTTGTTGAGATAAAAGGAAGTTGCAGTGCGTCACTCTCACAACCTTCCCCGCAGCACAGCAACAACTCACTCCAACCAAGCAGTTCCAATAACTTCAAATTTCAAATCTCGCCATTTTTCCTATTCTACTTGTTCGAAACTCTGCTTCCTCCCGCTTGAAATACCACAGACTCAACTCACGATGGTCGCTTCAACCGACACCTTCCCCGGCCTTCTCAAGCCAACCACGAAGCCCTACCGCCTTCCTCAGATCAACACTGTACCTGTGAGTTTTTTGACTTTCGATCTGCAATTTTCTCTTTCACCATTGATTCTGATACTTGGCTCTAGCTGCTCATCAAGGATGGTTTCACGCTCACGACTCTCTTCTCCATCGGCGCCCTCATGCAGACGGCGCTCTTTCTCATTTTACCGACAAAATACGCCATCATTCCTTCCTCCGCTATCGCTCTCAACTCCATCATTTCCACCATCATCGGAACCCGCTCAAAGTCGGCCAACACTTACATGAACGGCGTCGTCCCGGGCCGTACCTCCGCACAGTTCCCGGACCCCACCACCGGCAAGATCCCCGCCACCCCGGCCGGTCGATCACTGCTGGTCTTCCACCTCGGCGTCCGTTTCAACCATCCTCTCGGTCTCCTCGCTCCCGGCGGTCGCGAGATTGGCGCATACTTTGACGCCATGAACAAGGACCTGAACCTTCGCGCCGACGAGTACGGACTCTACCACCTCTCTTCTTGGCAATCCCTCGAGGCCGAGCGCAACAACACGCTCATGTTCATCTACTACTTCAGAGACGTCGAGGGCCTCAACAAGTTCGCCCACGATCCCCTCCACCGCAAGACCTGGGACTGGTACAACAGCATCAGGGACCAGTTCAACCACATTGGTATCTTTCACGAGGGCTTCGTCACCGGCCCGCAGCAATACGAGACCATCTACGGCAACATGAAGCCCACCCTCCTTGGTGCGGCGAGCCTCAAGTGCAAGAACGAGGAGACCAAGGAGGACGAGTGGGTCAACACCTTGGTCAACTGCGACAACTCGGCTCTGAGAAGCCAGTTCAAGCGCATGGGGAAGGCCTCCCGGCAATTGGTGGAGTACGAGACCTGAGTCGGCACGAGCTTGGTTTCAACCTGTATCGTGTTCCAACATCATGACTGTTCATGAAGCTGCTTAATGAGGCGTTTGGTCGGTTCTGGCTATAGATAAGGCTTCTTCTGAGGCGTGCTGCTCTGAGTACTGGTCGTAGTGGTCGGGGAAGGAACAACTAGTGAGGGAGAGAAAACAAAGGACTAGCATAGTAACAAATTTGCCCGCAAAGGAAAGTTCCAATTATGATATTGAAAGTCTCATTAAAGTTAGGACATACCCATTGGGTTCGTGTAAAACAAAGATTAAGCCCAGGTTCTTTTTCAGTTCGTCGTTGATCATGCCATTCATGAACTCCATTGGTGATGGTTATTAAGAGCAGTGATCAAAGGTGGAGTCTCTTGCAATGCCGCCTAATCCAAGTGTCCCGAGAAATACGCCGACCAAGATCGAAACAAAGTATCCAACATTCATACTCATTACTGCAAGCATTCTGTAATAGTTAACATCATTGCGCTGAATCGGCTGCATGCACACTTACAGAAGGTAACCTAGCAAGGCGATGATAACCTCATAAATCGCCCTTCCAAGCCTTATGTTGGCTTCTGAAATCATGCCTCTTAGCCCACCATCAGGATGTAGTTGTCTCATTGAGTTCCTTCTGGTCCGCCTTTGTTCTTTTCCAGTCTCCTCGTCGTCATGCCCAACCGCCAGTCTGCCTCTTGTGTCGTCGTGGCCCGCCCACACTGTTGTCTCGAGCCTTGGCTTGAAAGCAAGGAGAGCGCGAAGAATGATGGTAAAAGTGATGAGAGTGAGACAGGTGCCTGCGTACTGCCCAGTGGTACGAGGCGTCCAGGTCTCAGAAAACAGACTGGTGGACATGGCTGTGTGGAAGACTACAGGCATAGTCATCGACGAGTCGCCGCTGTCGGAGTGGCTGTGGTTGTGCTCCATCATATCCATTTTGAGCTGTTATTCCAAAGATATTCGTCTACAGTCAAGAGACAAAATGCCGACGTCGATACCGAATTTAAATAATTCTTTTCTGGTTCTGACCGCGAGAAACGGGTCGGTCGTTGCTGGGGTGGGCTTGGATGTTGTTGGAGCCTTCGCTTGACCCTCTAAGTTCAGCACCTGCGGCTCACAGGCCCCTCAGCCTCTTAAATAGGATGTGTTCTGCGTGAGCAAGTTATTGACCCAGCTGACCCTCCCTGCAAGGCTGACTTGCAAATCAGCTCGCTTCAAAGCACCTCGTCACCTCGCCCAACCTCGTGTTAAGCCCAATGTAACACGATCCAGACACCGGACAAGTAATATCAAAACGCGTTCCTCTTTCAAATTTGAGAGCGTTATTTTGTGGCCATCAGAGGCTGGTTTTCGTCAAACAGCCGTTGGCGGTCTGCTTTGTCGTCACTTCTGGCATGGTGGGTCGTGAGGCAGATTGAGGGAGTTTCTCGGAAGTGTGGCTTGGCCTTCGTGTTCTCGACCGAATTAGGAAGTACGTTATGTACCCTGAGAGACTTTGTACACAGACTCCCTCAGACTACTAGCAAGGTACGGGAGGCTCTGTCAGCTATTGTGTGGTGCTATGGACGTCAATTTCCCGATGCACTGGTTGGTCTAGCCGTAGATGCACGAGAGAATACGCACAAACCAAATGTACTCAAGGTCCTCGATTCAGTATACAGGCAGTTACTAGAAGATCCCCCCATGACTGACAATAAAAACACGTCTAACCTGAGGGAAACAGTATTGGCGTCTTCTTTCCCCCAAATCAGTGTCTGCCGCAAGAGCGCGCAATCAGTCATCTTTCCGGTCCCAGATGCCTAATCTTCCCACCTGTCATAGACAAGTGTGAACCCGACTTCTGATTTCGGGCATCCGCCATATTGATGAGGTGATCGCGGCTTGATATCTGTTACGATTGATGGCGACCTCCAGTCGTGGGCAATACCAAGACCAACAAACGCGTATGCACCAGCGTCCCACTTTATGACCCCAGCATAGGAAGACTCTCAAGACCCCAATATCAAGTTCGCGATCTATGAGACCCACTGCGAATGGGATGTCAATCCCCGGACCGCTATCGAACTCGCCCGTGCCGTAACCCCGTTGCTCCACTTGGACGACAACGCACGCGGAGTCGAAAACAGGGCTCCATTGTGCTCGCCTCGAGAGTGATCTTTTCACTTGAGTAAAAGATTACACGCCATAAGCGGGAGTAATAGGTTACGGACCGATTACCGTGACGGAGAATCGATCGCCCTTGGTGGAATCTCGCGAAAACTCCTCTTGTGCCGATATCTGAGGGTAATGATCTGGTGTCGCACCTTCCCGCATCCCCCTGTCACGCCCAAGAAACAGCTCTTTCAGGTGAGCTTATGGTTGGCATCAGATATGAATCGAGTAATTCGAGCGGGAAGGGAGGAAAACGTCGAGAAACTTGGGGGAACCGAGAGCATCTCTAGACGGGCTAATTATGCCTTGGCAATCAAGAGAACGCGGGGTTATGCGTACAAGTCCTTCTGGGGATGTCATCATTGACTTCTCACGTATACTGCCTGTTTCATAAACCATAATATAGACGTGGTCAATTTCTTTGAATGTCAAAAGCTACGACGCAAGGCTGTGTTGGTTCATCTGGCCAGCGAGTACATCTTATTCTAGCAGCATGTATTGTCTCATCAATCCCCGCTACGACGCCTTACCCTGTAAGTTGTAACATCTTCAGAAAGAAAGAGCAGTCATGCAGTCTCCCAAGTGCGTTCTGCGCATAAGCCGGACAGACGCCCCATTCCACGTAGCCAAGCTTCAAGTCAATGTCTTGCCGAGGCCATTGCGGGCGAACATTTCGCCAAAATTCATGAGCTGCCGGTCAAGACCGCCACCTCTCTGAGCCGGGCGAACAAGGAGTTTGCGGACCTCCATCTTGTGCCTATGCGTCTCTTTGGGATTTTGTCCGAGCTGGAAGATCGCTAAAGCAGTGCTATTATTGTTGTTTGATTTGGCAAGATCTTTGAGGACGAAGAAAGAGACCAACGGGTCGGTTCCTGAGATGTCTGACGAGAGCGATACTCAATAGGCGAAAGCGCTTTAGACAGCGGTGCCCGAGAGTCAATTGAAGATGCTTCAGCGTCCAGATTGACGCATCATTGGAGTAGATCTGAGAGTGAGGGTGTCCAGAATTCCAATGCTTAAGCCGATATGATCTGGCTAATGACTAGCCCTCCGGGTAAAGGGTAGTCCGCCACACCATTATGCGACTGATATGGTTGTATCATCTCCTCTTGAGGACAGCCAAGCTGATTACTTGATGGGGAAAATGGCACAGTGGAAGACACAATATTTGAAACGAACCCCGGAGTTTCCTTTGTCTTCATGAATGGGATGTGAACGATGGGGCACCCTTTTGTGTGGTCCGAGGGTGAGTCATCGGGCATCGTCGTCAGTCACGGCGGCCGATAGTGATGAAGCTAGTGTGACCAAAACGCGAAATTTCGGTATTTTGGTGCCCAGATAGCACGCTCCAAGATATCAACATCGCAATTCCAGCTTGACAATCAGTTAACTGACTTTCGCAACATGCAAACACTCTTGGTTTTGATTCAAGATCGTACGTCATAGAACTCATCGGAACGACACCTCCAGCGGCTACAATAGAAGAAAGTTGTGTGAAGCCTCAGATTCAAATGAGACAAAATTGCCGTGGAAGTCGGAGACTCATAAGATTATGATGCCTAGGTAACTTTTTTGAAATTCATCTCGGCTGATTTTCTAATCGATTTTCGCGGAGACGTGCGAGTCTTCTTTACCGCGACATCGAGGTAGGCTGACAAATGACAACTCAGCTGGTCTCATTGTCAATATTTTATTCGTTTTGAAGGCACTGTCGATCTAATCGCGCGCACATTCCAAGTCCGAAGTTTTATGCATCCTTCGCGTTGGCGACCGCAATCATGAACGCTTAAGCTTGGCGCAACGAGAGAACTAAGGCCCCTGCCGCAGACTTATATCATAATCTGGGGAAGAGTCTAGATCGAGTTGTAACTCAAGTGTGAAAAGAAGATATTCACGCGTAACAACCAATGCAAACGGACGAAATACTTCGTACACGCGCAGCCACATTTGTGGAGCTGAGGAATATATATTCCGTAGTTTAGCGAGCTCATGGCGTTAGGAATCCGCTTGTTGAACGATCTTTGTTTCATCATTGGCTGTGGCCAAACAGATCCTGCCCGATCCCGCATAGGCATCCCACCGGCATCGGACAGAGATCAGGGAGCATTGTCTGCTTATAAAGCTATAGCCCTCTCCCTAGCAATAGGATTGAATTCTCGGTTATTTCCCACTGCAAGACGCTGAAGGGAGTTGCATGACGCCTTGGTTGATCCGTAAAGAAAGACCGGCGGCTACGGAGTTGGTCCGTTCGCCGGCTTGGTAATCTTCTCTACCCGTACTAGACGGCAGTTGTCGGTGGAGAATCGACAGATTTTTGTAGTCGAAGGAGTCGATTGAAAGCCTGGCATGGTGAAGGCTCCGCATTTGAGATGTGTCGGGCCGTCGGGTACATAGTTTCGTGCGACCAAGTGTCCACTTTTGGGACAACTTGAACCTCGTCGATTAGTTAACAGCTCCAACGCTTGTCACAATAGTTGCCACAATGTATCGTATAAATAAGTTTCCACCCTGCAGCAGTCAAAAAAATCTAGAATCGGATTCGCCTTAGACTCACTCACCGAGAGCGTTTTTTTCACGATCACACATTAACACTCTCGAACCTTCGGAGAATAGAATCATTCACGATGTCTGCATACCACACTCATCGCATCACTCAATCTCAACCCGGCGTAAAAGCCGAAGAGGGGCGATTCAACGAGGCTGCCGACAATTGCTCGTTCTTCTCTCCCAAGCAAGACCCTCGCCCGGGCAGTGCTGTTGACCCCCAGCCTTCCGGAGAGCCTATTCCCAAGCTTTTCACCCCATTGAAAATTCGAGGTGCCACCCTCCAAAATCGCATATGGGTCAGTCCCATGTGCCAGTACAGCGCTCATGAGGGCTTCCATACCCCTTGGCACATTGCTCACTACGGTGGTATGGTCCAGCGCGGAGTAAGTAACCCATCACATCCCGTTCAAAGGTTGTAGTGACTGACGGTCCCGAAGCCTGGCCTCATGATGGTCGAAGCCACAGCCGTGCAAGCTAACGGCCGCATCACACCGGAAGACTCTGGCATCTGGCTCGATGCTCATGTTGAGACTCTGAAGAAACACGTCGAGTTCGCTCACAGCCAGAACCAGCTCATCGCCATCCAATTGGCGCACGCCGGTAGGAAGGCATCAACTCTTGCTCCCTGGTTGGGCTTCGAGACACTTGCTGGTCAAGAGGCTGGAGGCTGGCCTCAAGATGTGGCCGGCCCGAGTGATCTTGCCTGGTCCGACAAGCACGCTACTCCCCGGGAGATGACTCTCGCCGAGATAGATCAACTGAAGCAAGACTTTGTCAAGGGTGCTTACCGCTCTCTTCACGCCGGGTTCGATGTGATTGAGCTTCATTTCGCGCATGGCTATCTCATCTCCAGCTTCCTCTCTCCGGCGAGCAACAAGCGCACAGATCAATACGGCGGTTCGTTCGAGAACCGCACTCGTCTCGCCATCGAACTGGTTGATGCTGTTCGTGAGGTTATTCCCAAGGACATGCCACTCTTTGTACGAATCAGTGCCACCGACTGGCTTGATACCAACCCGGAGTGGAACGGCCCAAGCTGGACCGTCGACGAGAGTGTGAAACTGGCTCAAATCCTTGCGGATCACGGGGTAGACGTGCTCGATGTGTCTACCGGCGGCAATCATTCTCAACAGAAGATTGTTGCCAGCGCTGGCTTCCAAGCACCCATGGCCAAGAAGATCAAAGCGGCTGTTGGAGATAAGATGCTTGTTAGCGCCGTGGGTATTATCAGAGACGGCAACCTCGCCGAGAAGCTGATCACGGGTTCTAATGAGGAAGGGGACACTCCGTTGGACTTGATTGCTGCCGGTCGAGGTTTCCAAAAGAACCCAGGTCTTGTATGGCAATGGGCTGATGACTTGGGTGTTGACATCCATGTTGCAAAGCAGATTGGATGGGGTTTCACGGGAAGAGTCAAGAAAGTGCCGAAGAAGCCTGAGATGCTCGCGTATGAGGACTAAAGTCCGAAGATTTATATAGTATCCTCATACTTTACGTAGAGACCTACATGGAGGTCACACACATTTAGAAGTCCAAGAAGTCCCCTCATCAATACCGAAGCAAGGACTCCATGTAAGACCACAGAGAACATTTCTGCCTCTGATATAATGAAACCAACTAAGTTGAGTGCAGCAAGCTATCCCGAGACTCCAGTAAGCATTCTAGATACTCGTGAGCCACGCCTGATCGCATATTTATGCATCTGAAACGGTTGTCAGCACCACTCAAGTACCGAGCCAAACGGTTGTTGCCCCGTCGAGACTGCCGGCATTGCTGTCATGTATGAACTAACCATGTGTGCAATGCGATCGTCATGCTTCAGCAATCTGGTGTTGAGAATAAGCAATACAGGTAAGCAGCCACACATTTACTTCGCTGTCCTTCGGAAATCGAGTTCTCCGTTGGTTAACTTTTCTTTGGGTCTGAACTGAGACGCCGATCTACATCCTAGTGCTCTATGTACTGTCCAGGATTACGGGAAGCTCATTCGCGGAGCTACGTGAGCTATTTGATGGATGGTCTCCGCTTGGAAATTTGCCGACACGAGGACCCATGTTCGGAAGGTGTGCATGATATCTAAATCACTCGGTGCAGGAAACATGCGAGTGCAGCATTGCTCGGGGGATTTGGCGTCACAGTATGACTGTGCATTTGCTCTTAGAGGGCCCAGTCAGTGCAACGTGGAAGTCGATGACAGAGCAAGGGCTGGTGGCGGTAAGCATCACGATCTGCCCCAGCTGCGTTGTGAATGTGCCGATCACAGAACAAATACAAATTGTCGAATATGACAAGTGGCTCAAGTCTTACCAGAGAAGACCAAAATTCAGTCAGTTCAATGGTTTTTCAGACTAGGTACCAGTGGGATCCAATATTGCGGGGGAAGGGAGAAGACGCGCTCGTAACTGGGGACACTAGCGTCGTCATCTGGTCGAATTGTCGCTTAGCCAGATGATCCTTTGTGACCAAAGTACCCGTTATATCCGTAACGAACACATCAACCCCCTGGTCTGACGTGAGATCGTCTAAGCACTTATTTCATACAAGCTTCGGGTTGCATATGTTTTCTCTGTTGATCTAACCTGGTAGCAAAAAAAGAGTGGAAAGCTTGACACATGGCCTTCCACCCCCTCCCTCTTCAGGGATATATCTTAAATGGCCCCCAAGACTTGCCATGGAGAAAGACCCCAGATGCAATTGCTTATTTGCAGGCACTTCCTTCAGCATTCTTTGTAGCAATCAGTCACTATGGGCAGCCAAGTTGAGCAACGTTTGATCCCGCAGGCCCTCGCAGACGCATTGGCAGAAAAGCCTGACCGCACCTGGGTTTCATACGCCATCAGCAATAACGTTGCACGGGATGGATTTCGCAACATCACCATCCGTCAACTCGCAACTGCGGTTGATCGACTAGCCTGGTACATCGACAACAACATCGGCAAAAGCAGCGATTTCGAGACAGTCATGTACTATGGCCTCGCTGATGTGAGGTACATCATTACCCTCATCGCTGGTATCAAAACAGGGCACAGCATCCTTTTCTGTTCCCACTTCAACAGCAAGGTCTTCAACCTTCACCTCTGCGAAAAGACCAACTGCCACACTGTCATGCGAACGGAGGGAGTAGAAGCAGTGATTGACTCCCTTGTACAAGAAAGACCCATGAAAGTCTTCCAAGTTCCAAGTCTCGACACCCTTTTGGAGGAAGGCAATCCGCCAAAGCCTTACCCCTACACAAAGTCCTGGAGAGAAGCGTGCGACGACCCAATATCTATCGGCCACTCCTCGGGAACTACAGGTCTTCCTAAGCCAATTGTCTGGACCAACCGATCCTACAGCGTCTGCGAACTGCACCAGGTTGTTCCAGACCTAGATGGCCACCCGCCGTACGCCAAGTTGCTGCTTGAGTCGACCAGTGTTTACCAAACCCAACCGATATATCACCCTTTCGGTCTCTTCACTGGAGTGACTGATCCCCTTTACCGGGAGAAGAAGATGGTGCTGGGGCCCATCGTCAGTGGTCCGACTCCACCTGCCATCCTTGAGCAGGTGATTGAGCACGCCGATATCGATAGCCTCAGTGGCGTACCAATCTACCTGGAGATGATTGCAAAGTCACCAAAACTCCTGGATTTGGTCGAAAAGAAACTCAAATACATCTTCTTTGCTGGGGGTGCGCTCAGCAAGCCCGCAGGCGATGCACTGTCCGCTAGGGTCCGCCTCCAGAGTTTCTACGGGGCTACCGAGGCAGGACCTGCATTTGGTCACATTCCAGACCGCGAAGACTGGGCTTGGTTGTTGTTGAACGACAAGGAAAGTGGCCTCAAATGGGAGCCGCGTGAAGTCAAAGGGACAGACGGCGTATATGAGTTGGTCTACGTGAAGAATCCTTACACGGAGAAGCGTCAGCACGTCTGGTGGCACACCAATAGCCAAGATGTACACCACAGCAACGACCTCTTCACCAAGCACCCGACAAAAGCGCATCACTGGAAATTTTATTCTCGAGCGGATGACATGATTGTAACAAAGTTTGGGTGGAATGTTAACCCTGTGGTTATGGAAAGAGAGATCGAGAGGCATCCTGCTGTGAAGTATGCAGTCGTTGGAGGTATTGGAAAGCGGACTGTCTGCGCAGTGATACAGCTTGTTGACGATGCGTCTGTGTTGCCTGACGATCCCCTGCAGAGCATTTTGCCCATGGTCGAGAGAGGCAACACCATCATGGATGCCGCGGGGCAATTGGCCAAGGAGAAGATCATTTTTGGCACGAAAGACAAGTCTTTTCCATTGGCTGGTAAAGGTAATGTTCAGAGATCAGCGGTTTTGAGGTTGTATGAGCCAGAGATTGAAGACATGTATTTGCGCGTTGGGGATTAGCCCTCGCCAGGTAGCAGAGGGGCGGCATCAGATGGCTCGCCGCGACGGTTACTACTTGTCAGTAACAACCACGAATCAATCAAGTTCAGGCTTGCGTCGCAATGATTTCTCCAGACTAAAACATTCAAACTCCTGAAACACACCGACTGATGCCAAACAGGAAATTTACATGCTGATTGGTTAATGGGCCCAGCTGAATGAGGCTTAGCCTAGGCAGCCGCCCTGTACTCAGCTGATGGCTGACGTGCGGCTGGATGCACTGATCGATCTTCTCGCCTTCAGCTCTTCATCAGCTTGGGATGGAGCTTTATTGACACGGTCTTATACTACGTTCTCCGTCCTATATGGCTACTCGCACTACCAGTGTGAGACCCAGATACCTCATCAGTGCATCATGTCTCTCACAACGCTGCCGTGTGAGCTCATAGCATCCATCCTCGGGAGTCTGGATGACTTCCAGTCTCTAACCGCAGCGTTGCTAACTTGCCGTCACATCTATAACTCGTTCAACCAAATCCATGGAATCGACGTTGCGATCCTACGACAACAGATAACACCAGCCCTGCTTCCTTACGCCGTGGCTGTCATAGAGGCATCTCGTTTCCGTCTTCACCACCCCCGCGAAATCGAGAGCGAAGCAGTGCGCGACCTAGTCGACACTCTGTATGACGAACCATCCCTTTTAGGTAGCCGCATGCAGGCAATGTCAGTTGCCCATCGACAAGAAATGTCAAAAAGGCACCAAGCGATTGTTGAATTTACCTCCAACTTTGCCGCTGAGTCTTGGGGACGCCTCCACTCAGACCAGCTCCAAGTTATCACAAAACCAAATTTGTCAGTTGAGGAACGTCACAACTTTTGCCGAGCGTTTTATCGCCTCGAGCTATTCTACACCCTCTTCAGGGACATGTACAAAGATCGCAGGGACCCCTTGGGCAATACAGCACACGTCAAGTTCTTTTCAAGGAATCCACCTTGGGAAAATGAACAGATTGGCTCTGTCGCAGAATTCTGGGAATCGAGGTTTGCCGAGGGTATGTTTCTCGCGATTGATAAGGAATCAAGGTCTGATTTAGCGTTGAAGCCAGTACTGATGTTATCGCCCACGACGTACTCTTTGGTGAACTGAACGTCGACTACCTTCACCGTGGCAAGAAAAATGACGAAAGACAAATCTGGGTGAGTTGTTGTACTCCAATGACGTCTTCGCACACTGTGCACAGGCTCACCTGAACAACAGATGGCAGAAGGAATCCTTTTTCTCCGGCGTCTGGTTAAATCGGATTCTTCATACCAAGCCAGGAACAAGATACTAAGATCTAGCTCCAGGATAGGCTGGGCCAATTGTCCAGGGGCATTGTTTGACGTACTTCGTGCCTATTGCAATGACGATTCTGGGTCAGAAGGCCGCGATGAAGGTGATTTGCTATCGATTGTGTTTAGTCGCGGCATGGACGAAGATGCCGACAAAGGACCGTGTGAAGCCTGGTATGCAGCGCATAAAAGTCAGCCGGTGGGTTCTTGGCTGATGCTCGACCACAACGATTGGCTTCGAGACCGGGCTTACGTGCTGTGGGACTGGAAACGCATACAGCAACATCAACTACTGAAGCTCTTCGAATCTGTTCCGGATAGACAGGTGCATCGTCCAGAGCCGACGACCGACGAACTGGAAGCCATGAGTGCTTCCTTTGTCGTTCGCGAAACGATATTTGAGAATGGGGGGCTTGGGTACTGGACGGGTAATGGTCATGAAGTGTTGTAACAAAGCCAACTCTGACGACAAGGACGCTGGAGGGAAGGCACCAGAAAGTGTGTTCAAAAATATCACATTTGATCGGCTATAACATCTCTAAAGTTGGATGCCAAACCGAACTTAGCTGAGAGCGAAGCATCTCTCAGAGCTGGCCTCGTTATTACCCCACCAATAAGGCATCGTGACAATCTTTCCTGCGCCGAAGAACAAGAAGGTCAACAGCATGTTGAAGTTGAAGCCTGCATCAAAGGCTGCCGCCAGAATATAGTTCCATCGGGCCCTGTTGATATGGCGTTAGCAACTTTGTGACGCGAAAACGGTGAAATAATATGCTGGGCCACTTACCAAAGATCGTAGCGATATCTGTATGCCCAGAACATGACGACAAAGCCACCGATGAAACTGCTGAAGTATCCGGTGCTGATGTTGCCGTAGAAGCTGGCCATGGTGGAAAAGAAGATGGTCGAGTTCCATAGCTGGAACTTGGCCCGTGGAAAGAAGCGGTGTAGAGCGAAGATCAGAACCGGGACAAAGGCGCCGACAAGGAAGCCATACGGAAGAACCTTGTAGATGTGTTGTTGGAAGAGGCGACGAGGCCCGATCAGCACGTACTGGACGCCCATGGTGAGGTTGGATGTAAGAGACTGGGCAGTCCATTGATGAGCAGGGTCTTCCTTAGCACCAGTAAGGTAGTCGAACTTGGTGTCAAGCACCCAGCGGACGACGGCATAGTTGATCGGAACACCCAAGAAGCTTCCGAATACTTGAGAGAAGAAGACAGTCTTGGGTGGTAAATGCATGTAATGACCGATCTTCATGTCTTGCAGGTTCAACTGCGCGCGGTACCAAGCGTTTCCAGCAATGGCACCGTAGGCTGAAGCTCCGGTCGGGTTCTTGAAGCCGCTGACAGAGTTGACCATGAGGCCATACAATAGCTCGTTGACTATGCTCCGTTAATTTGTGTTGCGTGATAAGGAATGGAATTCGACATACCAGTGCCAATTGCCAGTTGGAAGTTTGACAAGGCGTACAGGTACCCCAAAGGAACGACCAAAATGGCTCCAGTACCAATTGCGACGAAGTAAGTCCAGACCGGGATGAACATCTGACCAGTTGCAGTAATAGTGACTAGAGAAATGAAGGAAGCGGCAAACAGGGCCAAGAACCACCACATGGGGACCTCCTTGTATGAGCGCTGCAGAATACTGAGTTGATCGTTGTATTGAGTGCTGATCTCAGCTCCGCTCTTGCTGCGCTGGCGCAACTTCTCGAGACTGGCTTTGATGGTCTTGTAGCCGAAGAGTCCAGCCCACACTAATGCCGACGTGTAGCTTGCGTAATCGAAAAACATGGTCCAGAGGACATGAGTGCTAATGAATGGGGGGCCAAGTTCCTGATAAGCTGTCTCATTGAACGAGACGTCCGCAGTGAGTAACGAGGTGGTTGGGTAAGATGTTCCGTTCTCGAGGAACAGACGGTTGGACATGAGGTGCTTGTTCCACTCTCCAAGATGGCCGAACTTGGCAGCGGGGATCAGAATCCAGGCGCTGCAAGCGAAGCCCAGGAACATGACAACCTGGGTCCACCAGGGAGTCAAGAACAAGCTCGCACTACTCGAGATGTTGGACCAGTCGAGGGACAAGTTGAGCATTCCCATTCCACCGAAACCGGCACCAACGAAGTTCGCCGTCTCGTTGTTGGGCGCAACCCAGCAGAGGAAGGCCAAAGAACCAAGCATCGGGAAGACATACTCGGGCAGGAATTGCCAGAGAGTCATGCCGGCCAGAGCGAGGAAGAAGACTTTGGTCTGCTTGCGAGAGGCAGCAGTAGGGTTCTCGCGCTGCTTCTTTTGCGTTTCGAAAAGAGCAGTTTGGCAGAGACTGAGTCGAAGTCAGCTTGATGCATAAAGGATTTGCCCTGCGTCGCAAATTTGGATTTGTAAAAATGCGCAGTACGACCTAGCACAAAAGACGAATTGCATGAAGGAATTGAGAACTTACGCAGTGAACCATGGGAACTGGGGATCGTAGATCAGGAACTGACGAGCGAGAGCCGCGAAAGAGTAGCCCGTCCAGACAATGCCCCACATGAAGAAGATGGCAGCCGCCGGGTTGATGCGGGAGTTGAAGTAGAGCTCGGCCATGGCAACCGGGGTGTAGCCCAGGTTGTAAGTCGCCCCAGATGCGGCAGAAATTGTAACGAGAACATGCTCTTTGACGCTGAATGGCCCGGGGTTCAGGTTGAAGCCGTATCCAAATGGCAGCTTGACTTGCCATGCAGGCAGAACCTTGGCGAGCCAAACACCAGCATAGCTGGAAGCGATCTGCACGAAAAAGACGGAGTACGGCGCGTAGGTGGTACGGAAATGGCTCATCATACTCAAGAACGCTCCGGGAATGACAAAGATGATGGTGAGGACGAAGTAGCGGAAGGTGAGTGTCGGCAATTCGGGGTCGTCGGACAGGCTCACGATACGGCGGACGTAAGGCGGAATGTCCTTCAATCGCGGATCATCTTCGTCAAATGCCACCTCGGATCCGTTTGCTTGCGTCGTAAAAACAAAAGGCGGCTTCTCCATGTCGCCCTCGGCGAAGGGAGCGGCGCGCTCGCTGGACGTCTTCTCGGGCGTGCCATCGCGGGGAGTCTCGGCGGAGATGGCATCGTTGCCAGAAGCCTTGGGCTCGCTAACGGCCGTGGGCTGTGTGGTGGATGAGGGAGACATGGCGGATGTCGTTCAAGCGGCTGATCGCCAAGTTTCTTGGAAAAGCACGCCACACGGGAGCCAAGTCGGCCAAGCCTGGGGGACACAAGCTTTTCTCCCGAAAGCAACCCTGGCTGCCTGATGCATCTTATATCGAGGACGGAACATGTTCGCCCGCAAGTCTTGAAAACACCGAACAGCTTCCAGATTTGGGAGGTGACCTTGAACGGTTAGACGCAGTGGATCTCTGCGATGGTGTCATCGGCGTTTTTCATGTTTATATTGCCTGCGTCGCGCGATGGCACGACCTCGCCCGGATCTGCGGCTCGGGTTTTTGGCTTTAGGGCATTTGACTGGTGTGGCAGGGTCCCATTGAAGTCGGGCCTACGTGGGATGGCCGGGGATGTCGACGATGGATCGTGTTCCTACAAAAAGTTCCTCCTCGGATTCAACCGCCTCAATCACAACTCGTTCTTGGATCATGCCCTCGATTGCGAATTCACTCAAGGTGCGGGTGGCAAAGTCAAAATCTCGCTCACGTTGGTCAGCTTTCTCATCAAAGTCGTACATAAGAGCAATTGCGCCATCGGCAAAAGTGCCCTTCATCGAGTCAGGATCAACCTCGCACACCCACCGCCGCTAAAGAGTTTAAACGAGATGGATACAGTGGGACACGGTCTTTGAGCAATGCCTTCTGATTGGGGCCTTATCTTCAAATTTTCCATTTTCCACGCGTCTTCGGCGCGCTTTAGCGCTGCTCGGATCCGACCTCTTACTCGTTGTACGTAGCAGTACGCCTGGTTCATCGCGCACCTTCAACTTCTGGATCCGGTGAAGATGGGCATGCGGCCGGTATTAACCGAAACTCGATGATACCTTGTTGCATTGCCGAATTCGACACAGACTTGATGAATGGTAGGGCAGTCGGTTTGCCCCCAGCTTATTTTCCTCCTCCTCGAAAGGGGATTCTCATACGATGTAGCAAACATGTAGCAGTTTCCCTATGGGGTCAACCGAGACTTCCTGGCTGGGGGCAGCACACATACACAGTATTTGTGCAGAGATTTGAGTTCCAGTCTCGATCATAACATTGAACCCGATTTATAGTAGCAAACTTCGATGCATCCTTTTCACATTAGCCTCAGTCATATCAAATGCTGACTGCAGTCTGCAGAGCTGTTGCGGATGGCAATGCAGTGGTGTCATCGACCAACCGCTGGGATGTGAGACTGAGCAGGGATTGGCCAGCCGATGGCATTTAAGCAGACCTGGTATTGAAGCAGTGGCAAAATTCCTCGTGCTAAGTATAACGACAAGCAACCTGAATTCTTCTTATGTATCTATGCCTGTCTGATGATCTAATGATGTTTTCTTGTCCCCAACTCTGGCGTAGTCTGAACCTCCCCATACTGCTTAACTCCGCCTCTGTTCAATAATTTCTTCCACCGGCTTAAGAAAAACCAAGTCCAGTAGGCAAGGTCTATATTGACTCCAGCAATGGGTCAACACTCATAAGCTGGTCAACAAGGGCCATGTTCTTGGTGGATGATGTGAAATCGCACCAATAGCCGCCTTCCGCTTTGCACATGATCTGGGCGTTGACTAACGGCCAATAATTAGCCACATCAGAAGCTTGCAGCGAAATCTGATCCCACTTACATCTGGTAGGCCTTCCTCTGGGAAGCGAGTGACCAAATACAAGCGGTGATGGTGTGGGTAGATGCTGTGGTTCAGCATGCTGTTCTGGGTCTGCCACCAGTTCTTCGTCTTCGCCGGCAGCTTGATCACGGCATGTAGAGAAATCAATCCCGTGCCAAGCTGCTGTCCAGTTGGTGATGGTAAAACTGAGCTCTCCGGGTTCGCATGTATGGATAGAGTACCCGCGTAAAGCTATCTCTCGAGTTACCGCAAAAGCCCGGTCGACATTCTCAGGCTTGAGAGCTTCGATAACAGCAAGTCGATTGTGATAGGCTATGTCGCATACGGAAGTGTCTCGACTGATTGAAAAATGCGCTGTGCTATACATAATTGCATTGTGAAGGTATGGCTGTTCGGCCATGAGTGCCGGATGGCGACCCCGAGCTGCCTCAACGTTAGTTTATCAATATTTTACCCACCCCTCAAGTCATGTACTTGCCATTCACAGCTCCAGTCAGCATGATCATTTTTGGTTTCTTTCTATGCAAGTGAGTTAACTGGAATATTCATCAGCATCGTTATAGCAACGCGAGTGGAGATCACAGGTCTCACCTTCAACAGAAGAGCCGCGACAATGTCCCCATTCGTCAGCTGCAACTTTGTGCCGTGAGTCAAAGCTATCTTTGCTTGATGCTTCTCACGTAAGTTGGCGATCAAATCCTCAGGGAAAACCAAGAGTCGTCGGGTTTCGGATGGTTGCAAGATGAGTTCCGGGATGAAACCCAGTAAGATCCCAGCTCTCTCTTTGGCAGTTGTGACTCTGTAAGTTGCCTTTCTCTGCAGTTCCTTCTCACTTATGTCTTTTGGACCATCTAGAGCCCCGCGTTCAAGTTGCAGGAATTGAGCTGGCTTTTCCCCACGCGCTACTTGCAGCCACGCTCTCACAAAGCTAGAGAATCCCAGCTGGTCCACAATCGCGTGTGGAATGTTCGTACATACAACAGTCGCATCTTCATACTTGGTCAGATGCACAAGAAATGTTGCGGTATCTGGCTTATCCTCATAGCGTGCTCTTGGCCAGGTCGTTGGAGTCCATTCTTTCTCTAAATCGACGATTGACTTCCCCCATATGACCCCTTGACTGCCTGATATGTTTGATGCGGGTAGAAGTTGGCTTGCAGCCAGAGTTGTTTGAACGCGCCGGCTCGACCATCCGAAAAGTAGGCCATCGTGGGAAGGTGTTGGGAGCTGACAAAACAGACCTCCCTGCTTTCCATCGGACTGAATCTTGGAACCAAGGATGGGGAGGTGGTTTCGTATCAAGTTGTCGAGAGAAGTTCGCAAGATATCCTCTCGTACTGGATGCCGGAGGATGAAGAATACGATGTTACGTATGTAGTCGATGGGCTTCCATTGATCCTTTGGGTCTAAATGAAGGATTTGGCCGCTTGTTGTGCTAGATTCGTTTGGCTTCATGGCGATAGGCTGCTTCCAGTGGCTCATGACTGAGATGCGCGAATGAGAAAGACTTCAGATGATGTATAATATGAAAGGCTTGCTGGAGGTGTGCGTTTCTCACTTTTTCGTGTCTATTGAAACTTGGATTAAGTAGCCAAGCGTTTCTGGAATTTGCTCGTTATTGTGAACAGCAACTCGATGCTCAGTAGCAGGTAGGCATTAATCAAAGTACAAACAGAATTTTTCATAGTGTGGCGTAGACTTCAACAAGTTAGATGTGGCTGGGCTCAGAAGGATGAAAGCGTTTCAGAAAACCGAAAGTTTACTGTCAGAACCTTTGCTCATTTTTATTGAGTTTCAGCGGTGCATTCACGTTATCCCATCGGCTGGAATGCCGACGCCAAGCAATTTGAAAAAAGCACGTGTGAACCAGTAGCGGAGGACGGAATGGCGTCCCTTGCATCTCATGTGCAACTTTTGGCTGGCGCCATGCTACCAAGGCACGGAGTCCCTTGCACTCATAAAGCGTTCCGGAGGGATGTCCACTGGGCTACCTCAAATGCGAAATTGTGTTCGTATTCTTGCCAGTAGCCCGGTGGGATTGTAGGCATCTGCCAAGTGTCTAGGACGCAAAGGCCTCTTGGCGCGAACCACTCTCCGGGGCAGAGATTAAAGTTTTTGGAGAAGGTCACAATCTCCCGAATCGGATGACGAGCGAAAGTCGGTTTTCATCAAAGACGCCAAGCAGAATGATGTGGGATGCATGCAGGTTTGAGGGACCCGAAAAAGTGGTAATTGCCAAGTCTGCAGCTGCTTTTTAGTGTCTATTCTTTTCGGTCAGTAGTACATCTGGCTCTGCATAACGCTTGCCAAGTAGTCTGTCTGGGATAGCCGATAGTCGTCCTGCTCGAGATACGAATTCGACGTAGGATCGCTGTTGGCATTGAAGACCAAGTTACTTCCGTAGTTCCCAGTCCCATTTGCGACATCTCCAGTCCACGTGGGCCAATATGGCGCGTCAGAAACTTGTTTACCCTGTTAGCAACTATTCTTTACAAAGGCACGGCAGCTCATTATAGGAAGTCCTGCCAAGTAAACATACCTCCGTGGTGATTCGGGTCAAGTTCTGAGACAAACGACGCCCAAGCTCCGTTCATGAGCTTGGAGGCTGTCGCGAATTGTGTTTGGTTGGACGTGATGGGGTCCAAGTTTGCGAAAATAAAGTTGAGATCCATGGAATGATGCGAACCTAAACGGGCTGTGGTGCTAGGAGGTATGAGGTTGACCCGAGCTGAAAATGCTTTTTGTCCAGCAGTAGCCCAGGCCTTCAAAGTCATTCGTCGTGAAGTTGTTTCAACAACATCAGTATGGAACATGACCCCTCGCTTCCACTGAGCTCCGTACAACTGAATGTCTTCCGTTGAGGGACTATATACTGCGGGAAGTCCGGTGGTATTACTGGTATACAAGGCTTCGATCTTGGACACAGTGGTCTCGTCTGGGCCGCCAGCCGCAACAAGTGCTTTGAAATCGTCGTCGGTGTCAACAGGTCCACCAAACATGAAGACAGTCGCCTCATCTGTTGTCGTCGAGTACATGATTGGTACACGAACGAAATGGCCCTTGTCAAGAGATGCAGTCGGCTCATCCTGAAGAAAATCACCATCGACTTGCGTAAGCCACGGTCCAAGGCCGGTACCCGAGAATACAGGTGTGTTGCTGACATTCAGAGCGGTGGACAAGGACTCAACAGGTAAACTGCGGAGGCACTCCAACGGGCTGTTCTTGTCAGCGCAGCCTGTTGTTTCCGTGATGTTTCGGTAAAGATCCTCGGTGTACGCAACGGGATCCTTGATGTTATATGGCCACTTCTCTGCCATACCGCCACTTTGCATGATTGCTCCGCGAAACAGACTGTCGTCCCTACCACCGTACGCAATCAGATGCTTGCCGACGGATAGACCTCCTGCACTCTGGCCAAAAATTGTAACCTTTTGTGGATCTCCGCCGAAAGCGGCGATGTTCTCTTGGACCCATCTCAAAGCCAACCTTTGGTCACGAAGGCCGTTATTCGCAGAACCATTAGCCGTCAGCTCATTGGACCCCCAGAGAAACCCAAAGGCTGAGAGTCGATAGTTGATGGAGACGGCAATCAAAGGTTTCTGAGCGGCGCTGGCTTGTCGTACGAAGTTCGTCAAGTTAGTTTCCCTAGATGAACCGGCGTAGAGGCCGCCCCTACAGTAGATACTGTGTCAGTCTTGGTATGCAACATTGGGGCGCCAAAACATACCCGTGGATCCAGACTGCGACAGGAAGAGCCTCTGTTCCGTTGTGATCGCTCGGCCGGATGACGTTCAGTGACAGGCAGTCTTCTGACATTGGGTAGCTGGGAGGAGCCTTGAGTAGGCACAGTCAGCTTTCAACTCATGTTGTTCACTTTACTAGCTCTTACAGTGTATTGCATGCAGATATCAGCATACTCGACTGCTGATCGGGGCGTCTGCCAGGTTGTGTTCAGACTTTCAGGTGCTTTGAAGCGGCGATCTCCAACTGGAGGTTGAGCGTATGGCATTCCGAGGAAGACATCTTGTTCGTAGTTGTCCAGGTGAAAACCTTCGTAAGTCCCGTTAAGTACCGTAACAACAGGTCCTGCGTTTACCCGTCGAACCACGAGCAGTAGCACACTGCTTAACAACACCAGTGGCAACATCTTCAATCACGAAAATCGACAGATGAAAGCCTGGCAGGAAACAAAGCGAGGGGATTATTTTCCCGGCAACAGCAGTTCTTTTGTTTACATTCGGTTGTGATCTTCCGAATACTACATGATGTGCCAACTAGCCGACTACTATGGCAGATAGCCGATGATAAGGCTCGGGAGCGTGGCGATAAGAGTCAGATTGCCGCGATATGACGAGCCAACAGTCAATCATCGCCCGTCGTGATTTTATCCTGCGGAACAACCATCACTCAAAAAGATCGGGATTGGCATACACTTGATTGACCTCGAGTTTGGAGGTAGGTTGTTCCAAGGCGGTCGAAAGACTACACCGTATAATCTTGTTCAAGTCGGAATCCGCATCCCCTGCAACCCCCTTGCACACCTATCTCATTGGACATAAAACCTGTCTCAGCAGGGCCTTAATTGAGCTAGGGGGGGGGGAGTACACAGTATCAGGGCTTGTGACGATACAGACCACCTACTTCAGCAGATTCTGACTTGAAAGAGATTCTACGGTATGATAGATATCATTAGTTGTGGTCAACCTTGGAGAACCCCTTTCGTGCTTGTACTCACAGAGACGGGACCAACTTCCGAGGGCCGAATAGTGCCGATGGCTTCCAGGTCCCGAGTGTGCTATTCGGATCGCCTTCGCATATCTTTCCCCCTGTTGATAACGACTAGACTTCGCAAATAACTTAGGGTAACCTCGAAGATTATCGTAAGACTTTACCGCTGAGACTATGGCTCTTTGAAACCGATGGCTCTAACCAAAGGCAGCAGGTATATGCCATGGACAACTACAGACTTCACGGAAGCCCTTTCCCTGCAAGTCTATCAACTCATCTCTCGGATAATTCCGGTGGGCGCCGATAGTCCGAGACGCTATTACTTGATTGCAATGTGAAGTAACTTTCCATTGACTGCGTACCGCTGAACCTTATGACTACATTGCAGGAGGTAGTTGTCGACAAGCAAAGCTGACTTGCGGACCCCCGATCATGTTCTTCGCTTTCGCATCTAAAAGTTAAGTCGTACCTGCAACCAACCTAGGCAAGTTCGTTCATCTAATTCAAGATTATCCCAGAGCCATGGCCTTGAGATTTTGCCAAGGAATCAAGACTGTCGCATCTCCAACCTCAGTTGACGGGCCACGTGCACCACCCACCTCCTCTCTTCGACTTCAGTGTGGCGGAAACTCGGCCGGGAACATGGCGCAAAAAGGTCAGGGGATAATTTTCCGCCAGCCATGGGCACTTTCACGCCTGTGTGTCCCGTCGTCCTGGCCCTTCCCACCGGGCCAAACGCAATAGACTTTCTGGCAGAAACGCAGCCGAGAACGACACAAATGGCCATCCATGTAACAATACACGACTCACGAGTCGTGGGTTACTGGTCTGCGACACTCATGACCCCCTTTTTGCATAATTTCGCCTCGTGTCATGGTAGTCCAGATTGCTGTGCAAAGTTTAAATCCTTAACAGTCGCATAATTCGTACACCGACACCGAGCTGACGCCTAGTAAGCCTTGTCCAGGGTTTAAGGGAACAGAAAGATATTACCGTTAGACCGTCCTTTCCTTGCGCGCCCTAACTCTCTTTTCCCACGGTGCCAAGTATTCAGGTCCCATTTTTGGAGGGGACAGTTACACCTAGAGGTTTTTGATTGATCGAAAGCGGAAGTTTAGCGCCATGGATCGCGAACCAGACGCCTATTCCGTGGCTAGAGCCTCAACGGTAAGAAGGCGTAGCATTGTCACCATAACCGACCGTCAGACGCTCTCCATAGACTTGAGCCTCACCTCTACAGACACGTTCCCATCCGTATTCGTGGAGGAAAAGACCAGAAGTCCTAGCCTCATTCAAGAGAAATCAATCAACATGAGCACAGAAACGATTCAAGAGAGTCCAGAGAACGAGAAGAAAGATGAATCGTCGGCTCTGGTAGTTCCGCCAACGCCTAAGTACTTGTCTGGATACAGATTGTTCCTGGTGATGACCTGCGTGACACTTGTCTGCTGGCTCATGTTCCTCGACAGCTCGATTATTGTCACTGTAAGCCATAGCTGCATGGAAAGGTCACCAGAGATCTTTAGGGCTAATCCTGTCATAGGCAATTCCAGCGATTACCGATGAATTCCACTCTCTTGGAGATATTGGCTGGTATGGAAGCGCGTATCACCTCGCAAACGCAGCATTTCAGCCCCTGACGGGAAAGATCTATCGCTACTTTAGCTCTAAAGTAAGAGAAGCGAGTGCATATACTAGTCCTTTGCTGATAGTCGCAGTGGTCGTTTTTCACGTTTCTGGTAATCTTCGAACTT